TAGTCCAGAATAGGCAAAACTACAAAGACAGAAAGTAAATTAGTGGTTGCCTAGAGCTAGGGACTGAGAAGGCAATAATTCAGGAGAACAGGGTTTCTTTGGGGAGCAATAAAAATGTACTAAAATTTATTGTTGTGATGAATGTACAAAGAGAGAGAAAATGAAAAAGACTTAACAGAACACAGGAGAAATCAACAGACCCACAATTATGTTTGGCAACTTCAGCATTCCTCTCTTAGTAGTTGATAGAATAGATGAACAATCAGCAAGATTACTGAAAACCTGAAACACCTTGACCTCACTGACCTCTATAGAAGTGTTTCCCAAACTTCTCTCATGATGAGAATCTCCTGGTCGAGTTGTTTGTTAAAAAATATAGAAAATGCCACTTAACAAAAGCAAAATACACATTCTTTTCAAGTACAATTGAAAAATTCACCAAGTTATATCTTATATATACTGTATCATAAGACAAATCTCAATAAAACTGAAAGGAATATATATATATTGTATTTGCTTCTTGTAAAATTGTATATTAAGCTTAGAGCATTAGTTAAGTATACAATTTTACCTATATGTTCCCAAAAATTCTAGTTTAGCACTTCTTCATTGGGATTCAGGAATCTGTGTTTTAATAACTCCACCAGGTGATTCTCATCATGAGAGAAGTTTGGGAAACACTGCCCTATAGATATGCTGCCTACTCTGCAGCTCTACCCAGAACTCGCCGTGCCCCAGCGTGTGGGGGGCATCAGTATGGCTCAGTACAGAAGAGAGAGGTAGAAACAAGTCACCCGATTTCCTGGACACGGAGAAGTATAACCAGGCAGAGCCAGGAGGAAGCTTGGCAGAGGCAGTTCAACAACATGATGAAGATAGACAAGAACAAGGAGAGCAGAGGAAGACAGGCAGGCATAGAAAGTCAGAGAGAGGGAGCCAACCCTACATGGAGTATGTGGAGATTCCCGTGGAGATGGGATTTCTTTTCTTTTTTTAAAAAATAAATATATTTTATTGATTTTTTACAGAGAGGAAGAGAGAAGGAGAGAGAGTTAGAAACATCGATGAGAGAGAATCATCGATCAGCTGCCTCTTGCACAGCCCCTACTGGGGATGTGCCTGCAACCAAGGTACATGCCCTTGACCGGAATCGAACCCGGGACCTTTCAGCCCCCAGGCCCATGCTCTATCCATTGAGCCAAACCGGTTTCGGCGGATTTCTTTTCTTTTATGTTTTTTTTTTTTTTTTTAATATATTTTATTGATTTTTGTACAGAGAGGAAGGGAGAGAGATAGAGAGTTAGAAACATCGATGAGAGAGAGTCATCGATCAGCTGCCTCTTGCACACCCCCTACTGGGGATATGCCCGCAACCAAGGTACATGCCCTTGACCGGAATCGAACCCGGGACCTTTCAGCCCCCAGGCCCATGCTCTATCCATTGAGCCAAACCGGTTTCGGCGGATTTCTTTTCTTCTCTTATGTTTTCCCCTTTCACTTTTCACCCAGTGTGGAGAGTGTTGAGGACTAAGTGGAACATGGTCTAGAGGGCTTTTACTGAGGCTGTGCTCAGAGTTGGATGTAATCCTGGGGGTGGGACTCAGGGCTGAGACTCCAGTCTTCCAGGCAGCCCAGCAGGAAAAGGTCAAAGCCCAGATATGGATCACAGAATAGATGCCCAGGGCCCTTGGGTTTGGCTCTCTGAACATGGCAGGAATCTGATCACCAGACCTGGGATACAAGAGAAGACGGAGGACTTGCAGGAAGTCTGACTTGCTGTTGGTCACCTGAGCAACTCAATTAGGACTGTTCCTTATTTACATGCCTTAGCATGTACCAGTTAATAGGAGGTGCTCAATAAATGTTTTCTGAATGAAAGAATGAATTAAGTAATTAAACAAAAAATAAAACCCACTTGGTTTCACAGCCTGGGATTAGGGAGGAGTAAGTAAACACAACGGAGGCATAGAGAGGGACAAAGACAGGGCAAGTTATGGCCTTAATGTGCCGCAGGTGCCGTTAAAAGCATGTCAGGGCTGCCTGAGTTACCAAGTCTGAGCTGAGATGTCAAGTCTAGTTCAGAAAACTTAAGTCTTTCTTGGCCTTGGTCGGGCAACTCAGTTGGTTTAGGGCAGTGGTCGGCAAACTCAATCAACAGCCAAATATCAACAGTACAATAATTGAAAAAAATTTTTTTTAATATATATTGTTTTTTTTTACAGAGAGGAAGGGAGAGGGATAGAGAGTTAATAGATACATCAATGAGAGAGAAACATCGACCAGCTGCCTCCTGCACACTCCCTACTGGGGATGTGCCCAAAACCAAGGTACATGCCCTTGACCAGAATCGATCCTGGGACCCTTCAGGGCGTAGGCCAATGCTCTGTCCACTGAGCCAAACCGGTTAGGGCTGAAATTTCTTTTGAGAGCCAAATTTTTTTAACTTAAACTTCTTCTAATGCCACTTCTTCAAAATAGACTTATCCAGGCCGTGGTATTTTGTGGAAGAGCCAAACTCAAGGGGCCAAAGAGCCGCATGTGGCTCGCGAGCCGCAATTTGTCGACAGCAGGTTTAGAGCATCAACCCAATTTGCCAAGGTTGTGGGTTTGATCTCTGGTCAGGGCACATACAAGAAACAACCAATGAGCCGGAACTGGTTTGGCTCAGTGGATAGAGCATCGTTCTGTGGACTGAAAGGTCCTCGGTTCGATCCTGGTCAAGGACATGTACCTTGGATGTGGGCACATCCCCAGTAGGGGGTGTGCAGGAGGCAGCTGATCGATGTTTCTAACTCTCTATCCTTCTCCCTTCCTCTCTATAAAAAAATCAATAATATATATATATTTTTTTAAAAGAAGCAACCAGTGAATACATCAATAAGTAGAATCACAATTGGTGCTTCTCTCTCAAATCAATAAATTAAAAGAAAACTCAGCCTTCCTATCTAGTCAATCCTATATAGTCTAAACCTTTCTCAGTCCAATTCCTTCTCTCTGGAAAAAAGGAGAAGAAGAAAAATAGAAACAAACAAACAAAAAATGATAGAGATTTGTCAATACTGGTCTCCCCCCTAAGCCTCCATTTTGATTACCCCAAACGAGTACTCAGAAATTCCTTTATTCTTAAGAACCTCAAGAATCTTTTATTTAGGAATACTAAAGGCTTTTTTTTTTTATAGTTGTAGAGTAGGAAAACATAGTAAGCAAATACTACAAAACTGAATAGTCACCACTGTTCTTCCCCTACTGTGAGACAATTCTCTTTCCATTTTCCAGAAAGTTATGTGGGGAAGAGAGAGTCCCATCCCTTCAGCACTAACACTCGAATGAGTATCATCACACATGGGTAGGAGAAGAACGTTGACATTTACTGACTGTTCTTACTCTGTGCACGGTGTTTTAGGCCTGAACTCATTTAATCCTCAAGAACCACTTCATGGGGGAGAGGTCAAGCAAAGAACCTGTATGCATGCATATAAGCCTAACCAGTGGTCACGGACAACAGGGAGGTGGGGACATACGTGGGGAGGGGTTTGGGATAGGAATGGGGGGATGAGGACTAATATGTGATACCTTCATCAATAAAGAAATTTTTAAAAAGACAAAACTAAAAAATAAACAGTCTTAGAATAGGGTACTTACAAGGAAACAAAAGGTCTATTTATTTGATATCATGGACCAAAAATAAAAGATGTAAGTAGCATTGGAAAAAAAAAAAAAAAGAACCACTTCATTTCAGAGGTAAGGAAAGGGGCTCTGAGCGTTGAAGTAGCTTGTCTAAGACAATGCAATAGTGAGTGTGTGCAGGGACCGAACTCAGGTCTGGCTGAAATCCACGTTCTTTCCACCATCCTAGGCACACCTTTGAGCTGCCTTTCACCTTTCTCCCAAGATAAGGATTGCTCTGGCTTAAGTTCTTTTTACCTCTGAAGCAATCCCCGGTTCAAGTCTCTGCCCACTGACAGTTCACTCCCGCTTCCCAGCCTCTGTAACACGCGATCTGTCACCCAACCTAAGGCCCCCTCTAGTGTCACAGAAAAACAATGCGCAGTAGGTATGCATCTCAGAAAGCACTTTCCGATACAATGACTACTTCATCTGCCCTTCACACGACAATCCCGTGAAGCGGGCAACGCAGGTGAAAGCACCCCCATTTTTACAAGAAGAGGCATCTCTCCAGAGTCACGGAATAAAAAGCAGGGAACGTCAGGAGCAGAGACCCAGATTTTCATTCTGGTCCCTGAACTCTTGCCACTAGCTCCTCAATGCTGCCCCCGCCCCAGCGATGTCACAAGGTGCCCCCTCAGTTCAAACCCCGGCCTGTATTTCACACGCCCCCTCCCACGCCCCCACCCACCCACCGCAGCGCCCCCGACTCTGCTTCCCCACGGCCCACTCCCCCTCCACCCCGTCTCTTTCCAACCCCCTCCGCCCACAGACCACCTCGGCTCAGGAGGCGCCTCCCCTCACAGGCAGTACGCGACCCCCTTCTCGGCCTCCTGCAGCCCCTCGCCCAGCCCCTCCCACCCCCATGGGCGCCCCGGTCCCCTTCTGTCAGCCTGCGGCCGGGTCGGCCCGGGCTACCTTCTCCAAGGATGCAGGTCTCTGCACGGCCAGGGAGCGGGCCAATGACAGGACCGTGTTGAAATAAAAACCCCGCGAGGCGCTGGAGCCGGAGCCGGAACCGCAGCTGGAGCCGCCGCCTCCCCGGGCCGCCGCCGCTGCCGCCGCCATCATCACGCGCACAGCGGCGCAGCGCAGCCCGCCGGCTTCCCGCACCGGCCCGCGAACGCCGGAGCTCACCACGCAGGCGCGGCCGCATCCGGCTTCCCCACCACGTGACCTCTCTGTTGCCGAAACTAGTTGGGGCGTGGCCATGGGCGGTACCACCACTAGAGGGGGGGAAAGAGCCTTGCCGTAGGTCAGGCGGCGCACGCCGGGCGCGGTTTCCCCCCCAGGCCGCTGGGCACGATGGTTCACTCCGGACGCGAGGTCACCCACGCACGACGCGCGGAAGAAGCTCTTGCTGCGACCGCCGCCGAGTCGGCCGACGGTTGCGGCGGCGGACGGAGGGCGGTGGTCCCGTGGAGCTGCCAGGGTGGTGGGCGCCTCCGGAGAGCTTCGGGAGGGCAGCCGGGACCCCTGCGGACCAAGAAAGGCCGTTCCTCGCCTCGGCCGGCCGAGCCCCTCCTGCTCCTGCCCTGACAAGAAGCCGAGCGCCGGGACCATGTCGGCCTACCACAAAAGTTACAACCCCTTCGACGACGACGCGGAGGATGAGGGCGCCCCGCCGGCTTCGTGGAAGGACGTCCGCGACCTCCCCGACGGGCCCAGCGCGCCTGGGGACCGGCAGCAGTACCTGCGACAGGAGGTGATGCGGAGGGCCGAGGCCACGGCCGCCAGCACCAACAGGTCCCTGTCGCTCATGTACGAGTCCGAGAAGGTCGGGGTCGCCACTTCCGAGGTGAGCCTGGAGCAGGGCTGGGACTGGGCCCGCCAGTCCGTGTTGTCATAAGCCTTATGACATAAGGGGTCAAGAAGTGTTTTGTTCACGACCTTTGGGCCATTCTCGAATTGCCTAGAGTAGGTCCTTGTACTTGAGTGACTTGATGATTTGTAATCATCTGTTAGCTTTGTAAAAGAGAGGTGCATCTTGAGGACTTGAAAGAGGCAGTTTGCCCCCAGGAATCTTCCTTAGCCGTTAGGCTGCTTAGTTTTTGTTTCTTTGTTTCTACTCCTAGTTCAAAGGTACACTCCACACTGTCCAGGTGAGTAAAAATAATCTGAACAGCCGAGCCTGGGTTAGGGAAATGGAGGGTCTGTTTCTTTTACATAATTTTCTGGTCACAAGTCTGGCCCAAGGGCTTCAGCCATTCCTCGCCCCAGAGACCCAGAGTGAGTGAGCACTGTGTGCCTGCTGGTTTCTGAAGCATGAAAGCAAATAGGCCTTGATATTTTTTCCCATCAGTGACCACTTCTCCATCTGGCCAGTAGAGGTGGTGAGGTCTTGTCTGCCTGGGCACCGGCCGAGTGAGCCAAAGCAGGAGTGTGGGCAGGTGATAGAGCCTTATCCTTACTTCTCAAATCCAAACCAAGATCTAAATAGCATGTGTGGCTGGAACAGTCCATTGTTCCAACTCACATTTGTCAGTTCTTTCAAAATTTCAGAGTAGAACCTTATATGAGGATGGTTCTTTTATTATTATTTTTTTAATCAATCTTTATTGTTCATATTATTACAAAGATTCCTCATTTCTTCCCCCCCCCCGACCCCCCCATTGTCCTCATCCATAGGTGCACAGTTTATGTTCAGTCTCTTCCTCCCTTCCTTTCCCCGATAGTAAATCCCTTTTCAGATAGTAAATCAGTTACTTAGCATTTTCTCATATCAATAATACCTCCACATGCCCAATGATACACTTCACACCAAAGACATTTCCAAATAGGTCAACCAGCCTCATCCAGGCCCCACCCAAGGCACTCACAGATCAACACCCCAGCACTATACTAACTCAACACATCCAGATCTAAGCCTTCATCACTTGATTCAGCAGACCCTCAAGGTCCTGCAAAAGTTTCCAGCCATGTCTGAGAGGCAGCCGTGGGGCAGGGGCAGGCGAGGAGCAAGCTGTTCCGGGCCTGGCTGCTCCGGGCCTGGACTCTGTTGCTCTGGTTCGTTCCACAACCAGCTGCTCCGGGTCTGGTCACTGCCGCTCCTGACCTAGTTGCTCTGGACTTGGCTGCTGCTGCTCCAGGCCTGGCCGCACCCGACCCGGCTGCTCTGGGCCCGGCCGCTCCGGGCCCAGCCGCTCCAGGCCTAGCCGCTCCCAGCCTGGCAGCTGCTGCTCCGGTCCTGGCCGCACAAGACCCGGCTGCTCCGGGCCTGGCTGCTCCCAGCCTGGCAGCCGCTGCTCCAGGCCTGGCCGCACCAGACCCGGCTGCTCAGGGCCTGGCCGTTTCCAGCCTGGCAGCCGCTGCTCTGGGCCTGGCCGCACAAGACCCGGCTGCTTCAGGCCTGGCCGCTCCCAGCCTGGCAACTGCTGCTCCGGGCCTGGCCGCTCCCAGCCTGGCAGCTGCTGCTCCGGGCCTGGCTGCTCCCAGCCTGGCAGCTGCTGCTCCGGGCCTAGCCGCTCCCAGCCTGGCAGCTGCTGCTCCGGGCCTGGCCGCTCCCAGCCTGGCAGCCGCTGCTCCAGGCCTGGCCGCACCAGACCCGGCTGCTCCGGGGGTTCTTTTATTATTGTTATTATTATTTTAAGAATAGTTTATTGAATTTTAGAGAGAGAGAGAGAGAGAAACATTGGTGCCAGAGCAGAACACACCCTGCACCGGGATCGAGCCCACTACCTGAGCTGTGCCCTGACCAGGAATCAAACTGGCAACATTTTGGTGCACCAGTGGATGCCCTAACGGCCAGGGCAGGATTGTTCTTTCTTAGGCACCACATTCCTCCTCTGCCTATTAATGGTTTTGTGTGGGCATCTTTAAGTTTTATTTTATTTTATTTAAGTTTTTAAAAAATTATTATAAAAATTCTTTTCTTTATGTTTGTAGATTATTGATATGTCAGCTAAGAATAATTCATTTTAGGCATATGTAGCTTTGAACAGTAATGCTAGAAACTAAAGTATTGTCTTCCTCTGTGGTCTCCTTGTAACTTTTTCCCTGGTAACATTCATTCTGACCTGATCACTTACGTACGGTCTTGGGCAGTTTGAGGTATATTGATTAACTTCTCAAATAGTCATCTCCTTCATTTCCTCATTGCTCCTTTCTTGGGTGATTCCCCTCCCTTACTTGGCTCACCTTCCTATCTTTGGCCTTGTTAAGGAAGTTTAGCTTGTGGTTCTTACATGTCATATCTACTGGATTCCTGTTTTTGAGTCTAAATGGGAAGTGAGGACTCAGATTTGGGAAGATTGCTGAGGTCTTAGGGCCCTGGTGGAGGGGTCACTTAATTGAGTGTCCCAAGTCCAAGGAATTCAACTAAAACTGTTTTGAAGAGACGTATATGCAAACAGTGAGAACAAATGGAGGAAATCAGAATGATACAGTCTCAGGTATCATAACAGCAGATAAGCTTGAAGCTGGTTTTTATGGCTAAGGTTTAGACAAGAGAAGGGAGGAGGAAGATGGATGTTCCCAGGGAACAAGGAGTAATGCTGAGACACTGGCCTGGAACCTGGAACCGGAGCTTCTAGGCTCCGGGGCAGGGAAGTGATGGACATGAGTACCAGGTAAGAGCCTGGAGGAGGCAGCAAAGAAGCCTTTTGTGTTCTAGAGGGAAGGGTTGTTCTCCTAACTCAAAAGAGCCAAAAACATAGATGATAGACTTTATTGGGGGTTAGTCATGTCTACATGGATGCCTGCATGGTGGCCTGGCTAACAGTCCAGTTTCTCCCCATATGAGACTGGATCCCCAGAGTCTCACCCAGCGTTCAGAGCAGTTGGGAGCTTGTGTCTCCCTCCAGCTTGAAAAAGCCAGCCACGTACTCAGTTGCCAAACATTTCCGCGTGCGCCTCCGAACCTCTCCCTTTACTTTCGCAGCTCCTCTGAGTCTCAGTGTGCTTTTCTCTTCCCTTCTAGTTGTAGAATTTCCACTCAGCCAGCCTTCCTGTGGTTCTGGATGATGTCCATTTTGTCTTTTAGTTGTAGTTTTGAAGTTGTTGTGTGAGGCAGCAGTTCAGGTATTTACCTATGCCGCCATCTTGGTTTCTCTCCCCTACTTATCATTTGATACCTGAGTTTAATTACAAACTCAATATGAGAAACAATATTTTGACACCTTTCCCTTGGGAACTCAGAGCATTACTAAGGGAAGATGATGAGATCCATCTGACATTATACGATGCCTTGGCTGTGAATAGGGGTTGGAGTGTGGTGGCCACTGCTGCCCCGTGAAGCCCATAGCTCTGCCCATCAATTGAACCCTTCTGAGTCCTGTCCAGCATCCCTGCCTACTCCCTATCATGCTCACCACATATAGTTCCTCTTCCTCTCTCAGTTCCCCTGCTGCTGCAAACCACTGCACCAACCACTCCCTCTTGCCCCACCTGACCCTCTGACTCTCTAACTTCTCAGCTTTCAGTTTCTCACCCATTGGGGAGCCTCACTGACCCCACCCTCTTAAACCATGTGAGGAGTCCCTTTCAGGGGTTTACCCTGGCAGAGCCTTGATCATGTGTATATCATGCCTTTTCTGTTTCTCCCATAAGACTAAGCTCAGTGAAGCAAAGATCTAGCTGCCTTCCTTGGACTGTCAGCACAGCATTTTTATCAACAAATGAAAAATCAGATTTAACTTCTCTCATATTGTCCTCTGCTAAACTGTTAGCTCCATTAGGGCAGAGATTTGGGGTGTTCAGCCCTGAGTCCCATGCACCTGGATCAGTGCCTGGCAGAGAGAGTGCTTGATAATAAGTGTTGGTGGGTACCTTGAAGTGCCTGTCATTGTGTGTGGGTTTTCAAAGAGCACTCTGCCAGCCATGATTCCCTAGAGTCTTCACATCCGCACATGACCCTTAGACATACTTCTCAGGCAGTGTACACCCTCACAGGCTCTTCAGCTGTCTTTCTGCTTCCCCTTGTTCTATCTGGGTTCTCTGTGTTTGACAAAAAGCCACAAGCCAAAGAGGAATTGAGATTCTCGTCTGTGCTGTCCCTTAGCATTGTATCTCCAATCAGATTTTTCCTTCGACCATCTTCTTTTCCAGTTTAACTTTAGAAAACTTCTTTTGGGGCTCAAGGAAGAGGGGGAATCACCTGTAATGCTAACACCTGAGCTAAGAGCTTTGTGTGTGTGCCCTTTACACTGAGGGCACATTGTAGAGTTCACAATCACCCTTGTCTCTTAGGTGACTTCCCGTACTCACAGGAACCAATAGAGAAGTCCTCACATGACCCTCCTCTGAAGGATGGGAGCATGCCTTGGGATGGGAGCACTTGGGGCCTGCCTTCGTAATGGCTGGGGGCAGGGCCTGTCTGGACTATTTTTTCTATCCTGGCACTCTTGGTATTTGTTCTGCTAAGCCGCCATCCTCGTTGATTAGAACTAGGTCACAGATACATGAGATCAGTCCTTTCCTCTGCCTTGAAGGAGGATTTTAGTACAAGTTCCTGACCAGCAGATCACCTACAATAAACTCCAGCTTTCAGCTCACAGAACCTTCCAGAGACCAAAGCAGCATTCACTTCCTGACCTTCGAGCCTCACAGCAGGACCAGCCATCCCTACATATTTCTCCGAAATTCTATCATAACATCTAAATAAGATGTTTGGTTTCCTTACTGAGTCAGCACAGTTATGTAGACTCAGAGTTTGAAAGTCTGTGTCACTTGTAAACAAACCAAAAAAAAAAAAATCTCATTGTGAATTTGTCAAGTGCTTATTACTGCTGTGACTCTCCAAATTGAGGTGGACAGGCCAAGGTGGGAGGGTAAGAAGTTTATAAGATGAGCTGAACTGTGATGGGAGAATTCACTGTCAGGGCAGCCATTCCCACCCCCAGCTGCCCTAAGTGCCCTTCAGCTTCATTTCAACAACTTGTGTTGCCATCGCCTTTGGCTTTTCCCAGGAACTCGTCCGTCAGCGAGGAGTCTTAGAACACACAGAGAAGATGGTGGACAAAATGGATCAAGATTTGAAGATCAGTCAGAAGCACATTAACAGCATTAAGAGTGTGTTTGGGGGACTCGTCAATTACTTCAAACCTAAACCAGCAGAGATTACACCTGAACAGAATGGCACCCTCATTCCCCAGCCCAACAGCAGGTGAGTGGGTCTTTAGCCATCCTGATGTGAAGTAGCAGAAAGTGGGTTTTAGTGCAAAGAGCCAAAACTCTCAGGTCACTTCTAGTGCCTTAAAGAGACCCAAGTACCTTGTAAGTTTCTCATGGGGAGGAATTCCTCTTCAAACAATTTAAAACAGGCAGGACAAGCCACCCCTACATATTTCTCCAGCACTCCCAATTACCTTCTCTTACTGATACCCAGTCTGCAAATTCAGCATCAGTAAATGGATCTCCAGTAAAATTACTGCTCCAGTAGCTTTTAGTTTGACCCCAGTAGTTTGAAAGAGAGAATATTCACTTCAGAAAGCTTAATCAGTACAAATGTGACCCGACCAAATTTTTGCTTTAAAAAGTCTTTATAGCCGAAACCGATTTGGCCCAGTGGATAGAGTGTCGGCCTGCGGACTGAAAGGTCCCAGGTTCGAGTCCAGTCAAAGGCACATACCCAGGTTCAGGCTCAATCCCCAGGTTATCACACCCCCAGTGGGGGGTGTGCAGGAGGCAGCTGATAGATGATTCTCTCTCATCGATGTTTCTAGCTCTCTATCCCTCTCTCTTTCTCTCTGTAAAAAATCAATAAAATGTATTTTTTTAAAAACACCTTATTCCATTAAAAAAAAAAAAGTCTTTATAGTGAACTTTTCCATATTTAATCCAAGTTGCCAACTGATTTTTATTTTAAAATTAAAGATTATTCTCAAAAGTTTGGGCTACAGTATAATGAAATCATGCACATGATTTTGACAGGCCTTTAAATCATGTATTTAAAAAAATGAAAGAATCACCCAGCCAGACCGGTTTGGCTCAGTGGATAGAGCGTCAGCCTGCAGACTCAAGGGTCCCAGGTTCGATTCCAGTCAAGGGCATGTACCTTGGTTGCGGGCATATCCCCAGTGGCGAGCGTGCAAGAGGCAGCTGGTTGGTGTTTCTCATCAATGTTTCTGACTCTCTAACTCTCCCTTTCTCTCTGTAAAAATTAATAAAATATATTAAAAACAAAAACAAAAAACACCCTACCTGGTTTGGCTCAGTGGATAGAGTATCAGCCTGCAGACTGAAAGGTCCCAGGTTCGAGTCCAGTCAAAGGCACATACCCAGGTTGCAGACTCAATCCCCAGGTTATCATTGATATTTCTCCCTCTCTCTCCCTTCCTCTCTGAAATCAATAAAAATACCTTTAAGAAAAAGAATTGAGTTTCTGTTAAAATAGGTTAGTACTCTTCATATCTCAGGTCAGTGTCTGTTTTTATTATAAAAACTATATAAAAGCCTAAGCAACCTGCCCACTGGCCAGTAGCTATGACGCACACTGACCACCAGGGGGGCAGATGCTCAACACAAGTGCCTTGGCAACTGTGGTTCTGGGGTGATGCACCCAGAACCAGAAAGGAGGGAGCCTGATTCCAGGGTGTGTTATAATCTGGGACCCCTCGGGGGATGTTGGAGAGCCAGTTTCAGCCCAATCCCCGCAGGCCAGGCCAACGGACCCCACCTGTGCATGAATCCAGGCACCAGGCCTCTAGTGTAGCCATATTGCAGAAAATCTGCATCTTATTTGCCATAACACAAAAACTTGAAATTTTTCTTCTCATGGCAGTGATTTGAGTTATATTGTATCAGAGTACTCTTTTGGCTTGTAGCCTGCTTCCATTAACCCATAAAAATGTTTGGTGTAATATTATTACAAAGGTTTCATAACTCTCTCGCTCTATGGTGGCCAGGTGAGCTCAGAAGCCACACACACATCTCCCACATACACCCAGTCTGGCAACACGTGGGGCTCACTGTCATGTTTGGAGAAACCAGCTGTGTTTTGTAGACCTTAGTCACTGCTGCTGAGTAATGAAAATCTCAGGTTTCAGAAGGTCCTGCTCTATTCTACACACGAGTAGAGCATTAGGGGCCTGCAAAATCATTAGCCTGACAAAGTCTGGCCAGGTTTCTGGGATACATGGAAGAGTAAGAGGACTTTTGTTTCCATGATTCATGTAGAAGGAAGGCCAAAGTGGAGGATAACTGGATTTCAACTTGGCTGAGGAAGTGGCCAGGCTACTAGTCAGCAGCGGTGGAGAAGCACAGATTGTGTGAGAGGCCCAGCTTTGGAGACACGTGCCACACCTGTCGGGGTTCAGTGGGGTGTTGGGTGCAAGCTGAGTATCTCTGAGTTGTCAAGAGAAGTCCCTGCTTACAGCTGGAGTTAGGCTTTGCAAGCTAGGAAGCAAAATCAAAGATATTTTATAGACTTATGTAACAAAAAAAAGTTAGTGGTAAGAGTCAATTGAGGGAAATAATTGAGTACAATTTTTATGTAATACAGAACTATTAATGGAAAACTGAAATTCTTAAGGTTCATTATTAGTGTTCCCTGTCATTTAAGTGATTGCCAGTGGACAACTGTAAAGGCCATTCTCTGCTTGTGGCTGTACAAAAACATGTGGCAGGCCGGATATGGCCTTAGGGTCAAAGTTTGCTGAATCCCAGTCTAAAGTACCCAATTGGTTTTTTCATTTGTTCCTCTTCCACCTGGAACTAGAATCCTGTTTTCCTGAGGGAGGGCCACTTAACCAGATGCTTCACTTCTAAAGCAGGTGTCTTGGAAGCTTGCTACATGGCCAGCAGGCTCCCAAGCTGTGCTGATGGAATTCCTGCTTTGGTCAGAGGAAACATTTGATTTTCTCACACAGGCATTACTTGGAAAGACTGACTATTATCATAACTGTTTTTCTTTTCTAAAAGTTTCCCTTTTACCTTTTATCAAAAGATTGAAAGAAGCTATAAATACAAGTAAAGAACAGGAGGCACAGTACCAGGCCAGCCACCCAAACCTCAGGAAGCTGAATGATTCAGGTTAGTGGGGACCTGTGCTTCCTCCAACATTTGAATTCTGTGGGGAGACCTCTGGATTTGGTGTTGGAACTTGATGGATGGGGGCTATAACCCTACTGGGGTGGCAGGTATAATCCACTGTAAACAAAAAGAGAAAAAAATTAAAAAGAAAAGCCAACTGTAAGAAAACCCCTATGATTAAATATGGTTGCAGAGGGAATTATAGTTGCTAATCAGCTGGCTTGAAGTAGGGAGATTATCTATCCTGGATTATCTATCCTGGATTATCTAGTTGGGCCTAGCGAAATTACAAAGGTCCTTTCTAAGTGGAAAAGGGGGCAGAAGAGGGAGTGTCATAATGGGAGACTGGAGATGCTGGCGGCTGGCTTTGAAGACGGAGGATTGGGCCATTATTAAAGAATGCAGGTTACCTCTAGAACACATGTGTCAAACACAAGGCCCGCGGGCCAAATCCGTCCCGCCAGGCCTTGCAATGTGGCCCGCACCGCGCTGTCATCACTGCACTCCGCTGCGTTTCCATCACAATGACAGTTTATGACTGTTCAGTAAACCATTCGGCCCGCGATTTAGGCTGGATTTTAGATTTTGGCCCCTTCTCTGATTGAGTTCAACACCCCTACTAGAAGCTGGAAAAGGCTAGGAATTGGATTCTGCCCAAGATCCTCCAGCAGGACACAACCCTGTTGACACCTTGATCTTAACCCAGTGAGACCCGAGTTGGACTTACCGACTTGCAGAACTGAAGGATAAGTTTGTTATAGCAGCAGTGGAGACTAATATAGCCCCAAGCTTGAGTTAGGAGAGAAGAAGCAGCATGGAAAAGGTGTGCAAGATAGAATATTTTGTGTGAAATTATGCTGTTGATATTAAATGACAGACCCAGAAACACCCCTTACCCAAAAAAGGAATTTAGACCTTCTTGTGGCTTCTGTAGACCCCTAGAAAGCAAGGCTCAATGGAAGGCTCCAGAAACCAGATGCTTTCTGTACTACCTTCAAGGAAAGTAGGATACAACCTGGAAGCACCAGAATCCACTTCGGTCATGGTTGGCACAGCTAAGGAAAGACTGATGGAGGAAGAGCCAGGGGTCAGGAAAGACAGATTTGTGCAGTTCAGTCTGGAAAGGAAAAAATCGTGGGACAAAATAAAAGAAATCTAAATCTAGAAGAAGAAGAAAAAATTGAGCTCTTCATGGTGGAGCAGGAGCCCTACAACCAAAATACATGATTTTAAGGAATTAAAGGAAATTTTTATTTGGTATGTTTTAAGAGACTCAAAAAAAAAGAAAGAAAATGACATTGTATATGTAGAATGGCTTCAGTATTGTTCAGTATTTCTAGGGGCAAATGTATAGTACATTATCATTTCTTTTTTCCTTATTTTGTTTGAATTGAAAAGAAGTAGAAATAAATTTTAAAAAGAAAAATAATGCCCATTATCCCTTTCATTTTTAACCCTTTTCATTTTTAACGCTTGTCCTTTACACTGTGTCCATGAGCATGTGCAGTTGTGCATTGTGGCAGTTCCACTGCCATCCTTTTACTTGAATGTATCTGTGTCTTCAGAGCTTGTGTGCCTGTGTCTGACCAGGTCACCCGTAGCTTGAGGGTCTTTGATCTCTGAGGGGCTGCCCTGAGGAAGCATCTCTCCTGCCCCTGCATGTTATCCATTCACACATTCACACACTCCTCTCTTCGATTGGTTTCTGGTTCATTGACCTCATTCCATCCACCCCATTTGGGAGATTAAGGTTAATTTAGTAAAGCAATATTTCTAGAGATATCAGTTAAAAAAGTTCTCCTGGTGTTTCTTCCTAAACTCAGACTCCATCCCTGAAGGGGCCATTTCTGCTGTGAATACCGAGGCTTACCCGAAGAACCCACACCTTCGAGCCTATCACCAGAAGATTGACAACAATCTAGGTAAGACTGAAAGTTGCACTAACTTCCACAGATCCCTTACTCGAGGTCTTTATCTTCCAGACAGTTCAGCCAAAGCGGCCAGTGCACAAGTAGGGACCCAAGTTCTCAGGACTAAAACGTCATGCCTGCCTCTCCCTGATCACGTCAGAGCCACTATAAGTTATCTCCATCTCACTCCTCATTCTCTAGAATCTGTTCACTTTTCATTCTCAACTCTTGTCTGGATTATGACATTAGCAGAGACCATGAGTCCCTGAGAAGCCACACAGTGCAGCCTGAACCCTGCTCACTTCATTCTTGCCATCTGGCATGTGGAGCCCCATGTTCTCCCCTGCAAACCAGGCTCAGGAACAGAACTTGCCTCTGAAGACTGCGTAGGGGGTACATGAGCAACACCATCAAGCACTTAGGAAACTGCTGTCCTGGTAAGAGCAAGCACTCATAGCACCTTGGCCATGCAGCTGGGTTCCTTACTGTCCAGGTCTCTTACACTGACCGCTGGTCCCTGCCTGCCTCTCCACACCCCTGCCCTCATCACTTTGAGTTCTTTACTTGCCCACAGCTGCCATCTGCTGTAGTGTGTCCTTCCTTCTTCCCACTCTGCAGGCTGGCTCCTCATGCTCTCAGCCTTGCTTTAATGTAGCCACCTCTTGTCTATCAGAGCACCCTATTGTTTCCACTACAGTGGCTTATCTGATGTCATCCTGACCAGACTATAAATTCCCAAGAACACAGGAATGTTTCAGTTTGTCATCACTTTGCACCCAGGACCTAAGAGGCAAGCACTCAATGATTATTTTTTGAATGAAGAGAGAAAAGTCAGTCATTTGAAGTTCAAATGGAGCAGTGTTGTGCATGCAAACAATAGGGGTTGACTCTGTGAGCGAGTTTCATGTGACTATTCAAGGTGGTGGTTCAGTCAGTGTTGCCTCCTCTGACCTTTGCTGCATGAACGGGAACCTGCCCCCCTGGCTGTCCCAGTTGCTGATAAGTTTCTTAAGGCCTTGGGAGACCTCACAGGTTTTTCTCTAAAACCAATAAAATAAATAAACAAACAAACTCAGGAAGCATAGGGCTGAAGACTTCCTTTTTTCATTGATCCTGTTTAGATTTATGGTTCCAGTGCCAGAATTTGTGGATTCTGGCCTTTTTTCACTTAGTGTTTTATCTGTAATTTAGCAGTTAAGAGGCTTACAAAGCACCTCCTCTTTTCTCTTTTCCCTGGCTCTTTTCTGCTCTGTTGTTCTTAGTAAAAGGGCAGAAAGCAGCTCTGGGCATGCCCATTCCTACCCCCCATGTGCAGGTGCATGTGTGTGTGTGTGCACACGAGAAGATTAGCATGCCTCTGTGCGAGGATGACATGTAAATTTGTGAAGCTTTCCATATTTTTAAAAGAAAAAAAAGAAGACTCATTTTTAAAGTTGACACAGTGTTATCAGGGAACCCCAGAATCCCTCTGTATGCCTCTTCCCCCAATTTACCCTCAGTTCTTTTTAAGTCATCTGTACCAAGTAAACCTTCCATGTACTCTAAGACTGACCACAACCCTATAAACATTATCCCTCTTGAAAACAAATGTGAGATTGATTTTACAACTTTTTAGAACAGAAGGAAAAGATATGTTACCAATAGTGGACCAACCTAATGAGGGAAATAGAATGAGCTCGGAAAGGGGGCTCGTTGTAGCCAGGTTCCCCAGGGGCCTTTCTCTCACCGGGGGCTCACCTCAGATGTGGTGAGGGTCCTGGGCCAGGCCAGAGCTCACCTAAAGATCACCCTAGGCCCAGTGGAGTTAGTCTGGATTTCCTCTCATGCTATACTTCCCGAGTGGAAGTAGGACTCTTGTTGTGTTTCAACTTGAATTTCAACAATAATGATGTAACCTGCACAAGAGTTGAACCTTTGCCAAAAGCAGTGTACTCCAGTTACCTGGGGCTCAGCCAGCTGGCATCTCTGAAGGAACCCAGCAAGCACCTCAGCACTACATTCCTTTTGAGCCTGGTGGATACAGGGACTCCCCTTGCACAGGGATTCCCAGGTCTATCTCTCAGACATGTTTCCAAACTGGGATCCTCATATTTTTCACTCTAGATCTGTGCTGGAACTAGCTTTAGGGCGCTAGAGATGGAAGGAAAGAGAGCAGGCATTACCCACTGACACGGAGTTCTTGCCCCTGAAGAGCAAGCCAGTGGGTCTGGTTATTAAGAACCAGTGTACCTCTTCCAAATATTCACCCTGGGGTCTAGGAAGGGAACTTGTTTCCAGGCTCCTCTGTGCTCTTTTCTGTGGGTGCTAATTGATCTTGCAATTGGCAGCAATTTTCTAGAAGGTTCAGAGTTGCTGAAAAAATACATAGGTCTAGATGAACTTTATAAAACACTGAAAGAATAAACACCATTATATTAACAATGGTTATCTTTGGTGGATAGTGTGGGAAAGAGAGATTTTACATTAAGAACATACTACTTTCTATTGAGTAAACAGATTTCCTTTTCATTTGCATATATTTTGGAAAATGTAACCAGAACGCTAGAGGTTAGCCTGTTATGTGAGGAAGAGGACTTTGTAATCTAAATGTCATTGAACACCCTGGCCGGCATGGCTCAGTGGCTGAATACTGACCAGGAGGTCACGGCTTGATTCCCAGTCATGTTCAGGTTGTGGACTTGATCCCCAGTATGGGGCATCAAAAGGTAGCTGATTGATGTTTCTCTCTCATCATTGATGTTTCTTTCTCTCTCTCCCTCCCTCCCTCTTTCTCTCAAAAAAAATAAAATAAATGTCACTAAACATCTGGGAGGGAACAAGAAAGCAGTTCCCAATGCCATCACTGTTTGCTTAGGCTGCATGTGCTTTCCTTTCCCACAGATGAGCTGTCCACAGGACTGGGCCGGCTGAAGGACATAGCCTTGGGGATGCAGACCGAAATTGAGGAGCAAGATGACATTATTGGCCGCCTCACAACCAAAGTGGACAAGTTAGATATCAATATAAAAAGCACAGAAAAAAAAGTTCGACAACTTTAAAGACAATGAAGGATTTCTACTCCATGATGATGAAAACATTTAAAAGATTTTTTTTTTTTCCTTTTCTTTTTTTCTCTCTTAAGTTTAAAATTATTAATGGCAGATTACAGCAGTCGGCCAACATCTCCCAAGGCTACAGAGGGATCAGGCTTAACAATGAAGGATGAGGTAGTGCTTTTACATGTTGACGGTATACCGGGTTTAGATAGTGACAATTTCTTGGTCCCTTTAATGTTGATAAGTAAGTAGTATGTTTTCACTCTGTAATATTTCAAACCCATTGATAGCCTTATAATATTGAGGTATTCATGGAGTTCTTGAACCAATTGGGGTATTTCTTGTATGACACTGGCATGCCTGGTCCACTCTGATTCTGCCCTTCGAGATTCAAGGACTGTACCAGGAAACTCCTCCAATGCCTCCAGATAAGAGTTGGCAACACAACATTTTCATGCAATGCCTCTGCAACAGGGCACACAGCAGGGCAAAGATCTGATACATTGTATGGCTGACAACTCATCACTAAGATCTACAAGTTTACCACAGAAGAATAGCGCCATAGTCAGAACTGACTCACATGGCCCTTTGACCGCATAAATGTCTTCTAGAGGACAATAATGAATGCTATTTGGATGGGTACCAGAGTGATCATAATAATACTTAGCATAGGTAAGGAAAGTTCACATCTGAGATTTTTTGCAACTGCCCCACACAAGTCAGCAAACTGTACTTTCTCAATGAGTCCTGGGACCCCCATCAGTTTTTATCACTACATGAATAAGATGGCATAGGTTGAGGATGACCTCTGTTGGAGTGTCTTGATACAACAATCAATGATACATTTCTAGAAACAATAAATGCCTTGAGCAAATAAGAGAGATGCCACTCAGGAGAAGATGGTATGGAGTGAACAAGAGTATGCATTTGGCAACCTGTGTTTCTCATAAATGATAGTGTCTCACTTGCTTCACTCTTATGCTTAACTGGAGTTGTCAGTGGTCTTAACATTCCTAGCAATCAGTCAATATCTGGAGACTTGCTATAGTATTGTTGGATCTTATCTAGTTTTAACCTTCTCATCACCTTAATTACCTGAGATGATCATTGAGTTAGACCACACATAAGTAAGTTGATTACCAATGAGTTCCGAGGTAATGACCCTTTTACCAAGTAATGACCCAAGATACCAATCTTGTGAGCCAGATCATAAATCTGATTTTCATCAGCGAGTGATACCCACCTTACAGTAGGAGATGATTGAGGTGCCGAGTTTGAGTTGGTGGCAGACAGCAGCGAGGGGGCTCCTCTTTATGGTACTGGTGAACCAAAAAGAGCAATTAATGAAATGGCCTGAGAGAGGAGCAAGATGACTCAATGCAACTGCTCAAGTCATCTTGGTGATTGACCTGAGTCGAACAATGTATGTAATTGTCTTGATTCTTGGTACAAAGACATGTAGATTTGTTGCCCAAGTTTGAACCTCACTGCTACTGCTGGTCACCAACCCACTCAGGTGTTGAGCTGCAGTGGGCAGGAAAGTCATCCAGACTTACCCTTGGTAAACAGCTGTTTGGGATAATTTGAACCTTTCTTCAATAATCAAAGAGGTACAAGTATCACAGTCAGTAGTAAGGTAATAAGTCTTTGGCTCCAATATTCCACAATGTAGTTTGGACACCAGCAGATTGAGCCTGTGCAGAAAAGCAACCTGAAAATGTATGATTTTTCTGTGACTTAGTAAAATTTGTCATGTAGTTAGTTGTAAAGTTGACATGAGTTGATATGACATTTAGGTTCTCTGCAAGTCCAGCTCAGTCATCTGAAGCTGTGGGGAGCCTATGAGTTAGTGTTCCTCCAAGAACTCCAGGAAGACCTGGTGATGCGACCCCCTTTTCCTTGAGAAGTGTTGACAGTAGCTCTGCCATATTCTCACTTACAGACCCTCTTAGCTTGATCCAATCACATGTAAGAATCAGGTCTTCTGCCATTTTCCCAATCTTCCCTTCAGATAACCCAGTAATTGCCCCTCTATTCACTTTAATGTAAGTTCTAGATCCTATGTAAAGTGGCCATGATCCCCTCTTGAGTCCGTTGCCATGGGATTAGTTGTGAATCTCTGCAGAAGATGATAGATTGAGCCACTTCAAAATGCGATGCAGTCTCCTTTAAGTGAAACTGTTCTATAAAGGGCATTGATACTGCATGAAGCTTGATTCCCCAAGTATCAAACTTCAGCCGCTCTGCAGCTGTGACAGAACATCCTTGTAAGTAATCCAGGATGTTGATTTTAGACTTATTAGGGGCAAGTATGCTTCTTACCAACTTGTCCCGGAAATTTCTACTCTCTTGTGCAGTGGATTTCATTGACATGGTTTGACTGATTCCAATAACTGTACTTAACTTCTGAAACTTATTTAGCATTGAAAAACCACAGGCTACATTGCTTTTTGTGAACAAGTAACTCATAAGCCTAGGGTATTTGGGCTCCACTGCAAATAAGTCTTCTGCCAGAGTTTCACCCTTTGAAGTACTGTCCATTTGCATCAGCTTTAAAATTCTTGATGATCCATCATCTCTGAAAGAGATTCTTCGATCCAGGTTTTGAGAACAACTGGCCTTCTCAGGAAGATGATGTTCGAGCAAGTAGAATCAGAGCACAGTACAAGAGCACTAGGTTCAAATACATCCTCCAGATATCCCTATGTTGACTGCATTCTTCAGTAGTGATAGTTGAAAAGTCAGCAGGTCAGTACTTCTAGCATGACAGGAAAGATCTTTCAAGTTTCCAAGAAATTTCATATATTATTTTAGTATGTAATTTAACATGTGTTTGCAAATGTTATAATCGAGCGGGTCTTAAGAGATTTTGTTAGAGAAAGTGTGTGTCCCACTTTTTCTGAGAGCCAACGCTTGCTCACTTCTTTGAACTGAATGTTTAGAATTTTAGTCTGAGCACAGTCTCTTTGCTTTTAATATTGTGGCCTTTTGATTAATATCATGCTGGAATGAGAAGAAAAAACTGCATTTCTTACTTTAATGAGCATATGGAAAGATGTGGGTGGAATTTTAATTTCTGTGTGTGGTATATCATTCCTAGGTCTTACCATGAGTCAGAGTGCTAAGGGACCCTATGAGCCAGTTTATGTGGGAGGATCCTTCCTTCCCAATACCTTTATTTAGCAGCCCTGCTCTCCGTGACGCCTGGAAATACGCAGAGAATTGGATAGTCCTTCTTCCCGGTTGCCCTCATCTCTGACACTCTGTTCCTGATTAGGGGCAGATTCTCCACTGGCTCAAGGCTGTGCCTGGCTGACCACCGGGGGCACTAGGTAGTTGGTGGGAATGGAGTATCACACAGACATGGCCAAGCAGTGGTCTTCCTTCTCTGAGCCCTCCACTCTGGAGCTCTCCCTGACCAGCCCAAGTAGGGCAGTAGTCACTCAGTGCCTGGGTCTCTTGACCCATCCAGGGTTCCCACTAACTCTCCTTGCATGTCTTACAAGGTGACTTGACTCAGCACTTGGTTCTCTGCTGCCAGTTTCAGGACTGGAACTCCACAAATGATGCTGACTTTGTATAGAACGATTTGGCTAAAAGAGAAAACGCTACATTATCATTTTGAACTGGTTCAGCTTGTTCTTCATTTTACAAAAAGAATCACTTAAAAGCACTAATTACAATTGATTTATATAATTAAATGGATTCTTTTTGTGTTGGTACTCCAGCAAAGTAATTGAAGCCACAAGACACTTTGTGTTTTTAAAAAACAAAATATTTTGAAGATGTTAAAGTGCTCAAAGGGACTGATTTTAATAAGGCAGTTTAGGTCAATTTTTAAATAACAGTGCCTTTCTATTTGAAACATGGCACTGGCTAAGTGATCTTACATTTTGTAGCCTATAAACAAAGTCCCTTAAAGCAAAGGAAACTTCTTCAAAGTGCTGCAGCACTGCATCAGTATTTATATAACAATTAGATGCCCAATGCACGAAATTCGTGCAAAATTAGACCTTTGCTGCCTCGGCCCTTGCAGCCCCAGCTGCCTCCGATTTGTCCGGAAGGTTTCTGGACAATGGTTTGGCTGTTTAGTCCATTTGCATATTACGCTTTTATTATACAATAACATTATTATAGATACATTTGTTAAAGGTCCATCCCATAATGCATGGCCTTCCTAGGATTACTGACAGTCTCCATCAGTAGATATTTACTGTCAAGTTACAGCCACGTCAGAGAGTATGATCCATGTCATGAATATCCCAGGACGTGAGGATGTGATTAAAAGTAATTTTAAAGTTAGACATTTATCAGATGAGCTCATTATGATTATTCTCTTTATAACTGGTAAAAGCAAAAATTTTAAACATGTACTCAGCCCAAACTAAACAAGTTCACAGGGCTTTCAGCAAAAAGGCTGCTAAAAAACATGAGGCCAGTCCACAGAGCACCTAGGAATTACATTTCCACTGTCATCCTATTTGTTTCTGTATTTTTCCTCGCTTAACACCTTCCTCGATGTAATGATTGTTTCTTCCTGTTATGAGGCATAGACTCATGGAGATCAGTCATTATACCTCAGATCTAAGCTTTTTATTTTCAAATAAAGGCCACCTTACTGCCAAACATTCTCTTCTGCAACCTTCCATATGCCTAATGGGATTAATGATATAACTGACTTGAAGCAAAGTAGCACCTTATTTTATGTACCTTCCCTGACTGTCTTTGATTAATGAAGCTAATCACCTCACCCCATATTTTTAACTCAAGCATATGGAAGGAGACTTGTTCTCACTTTCATAGAAGTTTGTCTTCCTCTGATATGTTTTTGTTCAGATCCCCTAATTCTAAGGCATTTGCCAAGGGACTATCTCTAAGCTATGTGCTGGCCAGCAGCTTCTGTCTGCTGCATCTTTACCCCTTTTCCCACACCCTCAAAGGACCTGTTGCTGATTCTACCTTATAAAGCAAAGTTGTGTTTCAGAGAACAAAGGGAGACCTAAGGAGTCTCTAGAATCTTTGCACATGATGGTGATGATCAAAAAGAAAACATCTACCTATAAAGCAGTGGTCACCAACCTTTCAGACCTCATGGACCACCAGTGGTCTGTGGACCACCGGTTGGCGACCACTGCTCTAGAGACACTCAGAGGTGCCCAGGCTGGGGTTGGGTGTTGGGGGCTTTGGTACAACAAGATCAGTGAACTCATCCCCCTTGCTAGGTGGGACCCATAAGACATTTTATTTCCACTTTTGAGTTGAAAACAAACTGTGCCTTCAAAACAGTGGCTTTTCTAACTTTAGGTTGATTATATGTTAAATGTGCTACTAACTTTAAAAAAGGTGCATTCTCCAGAGGAAACTATTTCTAATATGCAGTGATTTGTAACTTAGCAGTGGGGTTGTCTTTTTTGCATTATGTATGAAAAGAGGCCTGAATTTAACTTAGGTGGCAAGAAATACAGAAGTGTGTTTTAATTTCTCTTAACTTCTTTTTATGAGTATGTAATTTTAAGTGCACACTACACCAATTTAGTAAAAAGCTTATAGTTTGCCTACACAGACCTTGTCTGCAGAATTTTTAAAGTTAGCAATGTTGTTGAGCATCTTCAGCTCTGATGGATGAAATGTCTTATGTACAGAATCATGATCTAGTCATTAAAAGTGACCATGAGAAGGTGGGCTTTTTCAGAGTCTTTATCAGAACAGCTCTTATGCTCCATGCCTCCAACTTAACAATGACCATATTCCATAAAATAAAATGTGAAGTTTTTAAATCAACTTTGCTCTCCTACACAGTCATTTTCAAATAGTTGATAAAGGGGAATCCTCCTTGTTGAGTCATCTTGCATACGGCCTTTCCTGCCACATTCAGCCTACATAAAAAAGCTTCCTTCTTGAAACCTTCATCTCATCTGACAGAGTACTCTTCTGATCTGTCTCCTACCTCTTTGCCCCTCTGCAGAACTGTTTAGATCAGGTCTCGGCAAACTATAAAGGGCCCCAGAATGTAAATGTTTAGGGTCACAGACCAAACTATGTCACAACTACTCCACAATCAGCACAAAACAGCCAAAGACCATACAGTAAGTGGCTATGGCTCTGGCCGGTATGCTCAGTGGTTAGGGCATTGGCTCATGAACCAAAGGGTCACAGGTTTGATTCCCAGTCAACGGCACATACCTGGGTTGCAGGTTCAATCCCTCATGGGACCATGCAGGAGGCAGCCAATAATTCTCATCATTGATGTTTCTCTCTCTCCTCCTCCCTCTCTGAAATCAATAAAGATCTTTTTTTTATAACACACACAAAAAAGCACAAGTGCTGTAAATGGAATTGCCTGGCTTATACCATACACATTTCTGCAGTCTTTATGGAATCTGCACCCAAAGGTTTCCTTTGTTCCAATTGTTTTTTTGTTGTTGCTTTTTGTTTGTTTGTTTTTTTAATCCTCACCCCAGGATTATTTTTCCATTAATTTTTTTAGAGAGTGGAAGAGAGAAGGAAGGACAGAGAAAAACTAACACATCGTTTGGTTACCTCCTGCACGAGGTAATTGGTCAAGGCTCGTGCAGGAGGCAACCGATCAATGTGTCTCTCTCACATTGATGTTTTTCTCTCTAGCTCTTTCCCTCGCTCTTCCACTCTCTAAAAATCAATGAAAAAATATCCTCAGGTGAGGATTAACAAAAAAAGAAAAGAAACATCAATGATGAGAATCATTAATAGGCTGCCTCCTACACAATCCCCCTACTGGGGATCAAGCCCACAACACGGGCATATGCCTTGTCCAGGAATCGAACTGTGACCTCCTGGTTCATAGGTCGATGTTCAACCACTGAACCATACTGGCTGGGCAGGCCTTCTTTTTTAAAAATTCTAGTTAGGGAGAGTTTTAGTCCCAGAAGTGTACTTCTTTCTTCTTCCTGAAGCCAAACACACAGTCTTGTTTGGTCGAACTCAGGCCTGGGGGCCCCACTCTTACTAGTGTTTATTTTAGGAATGGGCATGTAACCCAATGGGGTGGGGATAGGAAGAGGCATCTCATAAGGTTTCTGGAGGAAGTGCTCTTTGTCCTTAAAAGGGGACACAGTGCTCTGGCTGGAATGGCTCGGTTGGCTGGGCTTTGTCCAGTGCACAAAAGGTCTCTGGTTTAATTACGAGTCAGGGCTCTCTAAAAATTAATGGAAGAATATCTTCAGGTGACGATTTTTTTAAAAAGAGAGAGAAAAGAAGGAAATTCTGCCATATCAACTTAGCTCGATCCCCAGTGGAGGACATGCGGAAGGCAGTGATCAGTTTCACTCTCACATCCTGAGCTGCCTTATAAGACTTCGTACTATGGGAAATGACAAATGCCCTTACTGCTTAAACTAATTTGAGTCAGAGTTACTAATTATTGCAGCAGAAAGTTTGCCTGGTTAACATGGCTATACAGTGAATCCCTGGTGAGTAAACTTTTGTAAGATCCCTGAATCATTAGTATTACAAGTATAGACCGATCTGATGGCCTAATCCAAGGAGGGCCTCTGCCCTAAGTCATAACTGCTTTTTAAAATATATATATATATTTTCACAGAGAGGAAGGGAGAGGGATAGAGAGCAAGAAACATCGATGAGAGAGACATTGACCAGCTGGCATAACTGCTGTTTGAATAGACTTTGCACAAAATATTGAGTGAGAGGCTTCTAGGTGACCTGCAATATATTTCCTCCCTGAAATCAATAGAAATACATTTTTTTTAAAAAAAAAAAAAGGAGATTTTGCCAAAACCGGTTTGGCTCAGTGGATAGAGAGAGCGTCAGCCTGCGGACTGAAGGGTCCCGGGTTCGATTCTGGTCAAGGGCATGTACCTTGGTTGCAGGCACATCCCCAGTAGGAGGTGAGCAAGAGGCAGCTGATCGATGATTCTCTCTCATCAATATTTCTAACTCTCTATCCCTCTCCTTTCCTCTCTGTAAAAAATAAATAAAATATATTAAAAAGAGAGATTTTATATGTATAGAAATTAGAGTACAATGAAGAGAATTATAAGGTATGTTCTCCCTCAAGTGGAAATGATGATCACTCATAACATGTAAGCATCAAGTCTAGGTTGTTTTTAGGCAAAGACTTCTAGTTCTGGCTCTGTTACAGAATGACCATCTGCCTCCCATTATGGTACTTAAGTTATATGACATAAATGGTATGGTTATTGATTAAAAATTATTTTATACTTTGATTCAAACTATTACTTAAATGGCAGGGTCTCTCACCCTAGCCAGTTTTTCTCAATGGTTAGAGCATTGACCTGCAGACCAAAGGGTTTAATTCCTGGTCAATGGCATATATCTCAGTTACAGGCTTGATCCCTGGCCCTGGTTGGGGCATGTGCAGGAGGCAAACAGTGGATGTGTCTCTCTCACATAGATGTTTCTCTCTGTGTGTGTCTCCCCCTTCCTTCCACACTCTCTAAAAATCAATGGAAAAAAATATCTTTGGGTGAGGATTAACCAAAAAAGAAAGAAAAGAATCAAATGGAGATTTTTCTCCCCACTCTCACCAACTCATTTTAAGATTTACACACTTTTTTAAAAGTAGAGTGTTTGCATATATATATGTTGTTGTTTTTTTGTTTTTTTCACTGATTTCAGAGAGGAAGGGAGAGAGAGAAAGAGATAGAAACATCAATGATGAGAGAGAATCATTGATCCGATGCCTCCTGCATGTCCCCTACTCGGGATCGAATCCACAACCCAGGCATGTGTCCTTGACTGGAATCAAACCTGGGACCTTTCAGTCCGCAGGCTGATGCTCTATTCACTGAGCCAAACCAGGTAGGGCAAAATCTACACAACTTTTAGAGTATGGAGGTAAAAGCCCAGGAAAAAGCTGAATGATAATCGAAAACACATAAATGATGCTCAGTAGGTGCAAGGCACTATTCTAAGCACTTGACATATATTTACTTGTTTAATAATGCATGAAGCATGGATGGAATGATGAAGTAACTGGCCCAAGGTCACTCAGTTAGTCAATTGACTGAGCCAGCATTTGAACTCAGGCAGTCCAGCTTCAAATTCTGAGCTACTCAAATTGTACCCGAGACATATATTATGAAAGTATTTTGGGGATTGGTGAAAACGTGCTGATGTTGAGTCACAAAAGGCACTAGGCCAGGACCATTTAGTTAACCCTAGGATGGACATTATCACCCTAATATGTTCAACTTAGAGGGTAGGGGGTAGGCAAAGGGCCAAAATGAAATTCCACTGACAGAGAGATCTACATAAGAGTTTGCCGAAATCAGTTTGGCTCAATGGATAGAGCGTCAGGTTGGGAACTGAAGGGACCCGGGTTCGATTCCGGTCAAGGGCATGTACCTTGGTTGCGGGCATATCCCCAGTAGGGGGTGTGCAAGAGGCAGCTGATCGATGACTCTCTCTCATCGATGTTTCTAGCACTCTCTCTCTCTCCCTCTCTGTACAAAAATCAATAAAATATATATATTTTAAAAAAGAGTTTGTACTGCCTTTGAGGATGTGCTTACTTGCCTGTCCAGTTCCTGGGGTGGTATTATCAATGATCGGGCACCAGTAGCCTAAAGGTTTATTTGAGCATCAACTCAAGGCCACGAATTGTGCTAGGCCCAGAGTTCAACAGGAGAGACAAGATCCCCACTTTCTTAAAATTTACATTCTAACCCAAATGGTGGTTGAGTGTCGACCTATGAACAGGAGGTCACAGGTCAGTGCACATGCCCTTATTTCAGACTCAAATCCCCCAGTGGAGGATATGCAGGAGACAGCCAATCCATAATTCTCTCTCATCATCGATGTTTCTATCCCTCTCTCTTCCTCTCTGAAATCAATAAAAATATAAACGAGAGGGGAGTGAAAGAGTAACTCGGAGAACGAAGCTGAACCCCAGCAGTCAAGCTCTTAAGGCCACGCCCAAGATACGTCTGTATTTTATTTGCATTAATTCAGCGCCAATGATGACATTACCTCAGGCTGTACTTCCTAGATTACTTAATCCTGTTCATCCAACCTTCACAACCCCACTAGTGCCTGTGGGGTTAACTGGCCAGTCCGTGTCCCTTAGCCAGGGTCACCCAATCTTTATCTGTGGTCGCTTCAGCCCCCGCGGTCATCTCCACTTGAGGCTGCGCGGCCCTGTGCCCTCGGCCGGCCAGGCCAGGTCACCTCAGTGCCACGCCTCCCTGGCCCCGAAGACTCGGCGGCTCGCACGCTACTACGCTTTGTCCCTAAAGCAGGTTTCGAAATGCCGCTCCCTCTGGGCTCCAGCTGTTTCCCTGCCAGCTCCAGGAGACCCGGGAGTGGCAGCGCCCCCGGCGGCGTTACCACGACCCAAGAAGGGAGTGCCCGCCGCCGCCGCCGCCAACTCCTCCGCCTCCTCCCGGAACGCGGGAGCCTGAGCGAGCGGCCCACGCCCCGAACGTCACCACCACGCTCCTGATTGGCTGCGCCGCGATACGTCACGGGGAGGGCTCCGGCGGCAGCTGGGAGCGGAGGCCGCGCGTGCGCACTCGGAGCGCGCTGGGCGGAGGGGGTGGTGGCTGGGAGCTTCTCCCGCGTCCGCCATTTTGTTGCTGTGGCTCTTGGGAACCGGCTAAGCAAAACCACCCCTGGAGGCGCGACGCTTCTTGGAGTTCGGTGGTTGGTGTGGCTGCTGGGGTCGGTGTAAAGCCTCGGGGGTGCGGAGCCGGCGCGTTTCAGGCCTGGAGTGAGCGGAGGAAGGCGCTCCAGGACGTGGGGCAGTCCGAGAAGCCCGGGGCGGCCTCCGCTGCGGTTCGGCTTCGCCCGCCCCGACCTCGGGCTCTGGTCCGCATTCCCGAGCCGGGCTCCTTCCGTGAGGAGGCCCCGGAGCAGGCGGGCCAAGGCGGAGGATGCTGCGGGCCCGGAGCCGAGAGGAAGGTGCTGGCTCGGTCCTCTAAGCGCGCCTCGAGGTGTGCCGAGAGGCCCTTCTTCGATTCCGAAGCCGTCTGCCGGTCCAAGGCGTCCAGAGCAGGGGAGAACAGCTGCCGCCGCCCCGACCCGGCCCAGAGCCTCGGCCCGACACCATGTCCTCCGCCAGGTTCGACTCCTCAGACCGCTCCTCCTGGTACATGGGGCCGGTGACTCGCCAGGAGGCGCAGAGCCGGCTCCAGGGCCAGCGCCACGGCATGTTCCTCGTCCGCGACTCCTCCACCTGCCCCGGGGACTATGTGCTGTCGGTGTCCGAGAACTCGCGAGTCTCCCACTACATCATCAACTCACTGCCCAACCGGCGTTTCAAGATCGGGGACCAGGAGTTTGACCACTTGCCGGCCCTGCTGGAGTTCTACAAGATTCACTACCTGGACACCACCACCCTCATCGAGCCTGCGCCCAGGTACGCGAGCGCCCACGCTCCCCGGGCTGCGTGCAGCCCACCCGACCCCCGAGGAGGGTCGACCATGGCCGGGTTGGTGCATGGGGTCAATCCAAAAGAGCGAGTGTATGTGTGTGTGTGTGTGTGTGTGTGTGTGTGTGTACAAGCGTGTGTGTTTATGATTGAACTCATTTCCCCCCCCCCCTTCTGAACCAAATTATTATTTCCAGAAGGCATTCCGAATGGAAGGCTAGTGTCAGGATCTGGGTCACTTTGGCTGAGGGGATGCGTCTTTAAACATATTAATGGCGGTTGCATAGTTAAAAATTATATAAAATGTACGTGTTTGTTTGTTTTTATGCCATTCGTCGCTTTCCCTATTTGGTTATCATATTAAAGCAGGGTTTTGTTATTTGGGGGTTTGGTTTTTTTTTGTTTTTGTTTTTCTAACCTTTTTTGGACCACGGACTTCTTTGAGAATCTCTAGATAGCCGTGGCATCCTCCCTCTCCCCAAAAATGCATGTACACACATGTCTGTACACCATTCAAGGTTCTCTGGATTCCCTGCAGATTTCTGAAAGCCAAGTTAAGAACTTATGTCCAGCAGCCTTTGGAGCCCTCGACAAGTTAAAATACTTTAGCATTTAGAAACAAAACTCTATAACTGAAATATCAGAATTGTATAGTAATAGCTTGATGCCAAGTTTGAAATAGCCAGACACCTATTATATCATACATTAAATGCAAAAACTTTAAAAGAGGGCACGTTGCTTTCAGAGAGGTCTTTAAAATTTTTTAATTTAAATTTCAATAGTTTTTCTTAAAGCTGGACCGTAAATTGATTGAATTCATTTGGTTAAATTACAAGGCAAAGTAAGACTAGAATGTTTACTTATAACTGTAAGGGAAATTTTTTATTGACATTTTTTTTATATCCTACTTGGTTTTTAAATGTACTTTTTATATCAAGGCTAATGACTTAATATCTGTTTTAGAGTTAAGAACCCTAAGTGACACTGAACATCAAACATTGCCTTTTCCAAGTAAAATATATTCTTTTTAAAATATATATGTTTTTATTGATTTCAGAGAGAGAGAGAAACATCAATGATGAGAACCACTGATCTACTGCCTCCTGCACTCCCCCTCCTGGCAATTGAGTTGGAAACCTTAGCATGTGTCCTGACCAGGAATCCAACCATGACCTCCTGGTTCATAGGTCGATGCTCAACCACCTACAGGGTGATTCATTCTTTTATTTGATTATTTGCCTTAGTATTTTATCAGAGGGTTTTTCTATTTAAATTATGCCAAATTTGAAGTGAAGAAAATAAGAGATATTGCACTGCCCAATTTTTTTCTTAAATGTCTATTTTAAAGGGGTAGGGTGCTAATATAGATTTGGGGGGGATGAAATGCTTTTGATTTTACAGATTTGCTGACAAGGAATTGCTATGAGCTTTATACATTACAAGCTATTGTAATTAAGGAGCAGTCACTGGATGCTTAGCCTGTGTTGCTTCTATGGAACAGAGATAGAGAAGAAACAAAGCCATGACAGTTTAATGCCTATAAGATTACTGAACTAAATAGACTTTTTTTTTTTTAATAGCAAAGGTGGAAATGATTGAAGAACAAGTACAGGCTCCCGTGTGGTGAGGGGGAAAGAGCCCCCTAAATAGACTAAAAAATGGGAGAAAGTGGTTATAAATCAAATATTGTATAACAAAGACCTAGACACAAAAGAATCTGATTGGTGAAACTTCAGGTCCTTGAAGATGCTAGTAATTGGACTCAATTCTGAGCACAATATAATTTCAATATAAGGAATTAGAATCTTAGAACCCACTATAATGAGATTTTGTAACATTTTAGGAAATGACTTCCCTAACTTGGGAAGGGAATTACATAATTAATTTCAGGCATTTATTAAGTCACACTATGTGCAATGCATTATGCTTATTTTGAGGTAACAGGTACTGTATAATACAGCTGTTCCAAAAAGTATGAGTAAATAAATGGCTCTATTCCCTTCAAGAGGAAGAAAAAAGAATATGCATGCTGCATTGGCTTCCTGCTACCCACTAAAAAAACTACTACAAATTTTTCTTGTACTGTCTTCCCAAATACCAAATCTGTCTTTGATATCTGTGCTTACCGCCTCTCCTAGCCTGATGCAGCCCCGTTAGTCCTCTCAGTCACTCCCTGGGAACCTTTGTTTAGGCTGTTGGCTCTTGGTTGACTGCCTAACTCCACCCACTCCTCACCTATTGAAAGCCTACCTGTTCCAGTCTTCTCACAAATAATAGGTCCTTCCCCTGACCCACTCAGTTCAGTTTTAATTGTTTCTCCTCTATGACCTCTATCCCAAACATCATTGTAATTTAGTTTTTTATTTTCCTTGATATTTTTCATAGGCCTCTCAATGCTGGTTGAATTAGATCCTGACGGGTATACTTTGTTATACTGAGTCTTTGGATTGCCTCTCCCAACCCTGAAATTTATGGATTTGGTTAGATGTTAGCATTAGCCTGGAGGGAAAAATAAGACAGAGAAAGACAAATATCACATGGTCTCACACGTGGAATATAATGAACAAAATAGATCCAGAGGTATGGATGCATGGAACAGAATAATAGATCTCAGTGGGGGTGCGGTGGGAGGGAATAGAAGAAATTAACCAAAGAATTTATATACGTAGTTCTTGGAGACAGACAATAGCATGGGGAAGGTCTGGGAGCGGGGGATGGACGAGGGGTGGATGGGGGAAAAGGGAGAAAATGGGAGACACCTGTAATGATAACAAAAATAAGTAAATAAATAAGTTCAGTGGGTGCCAATGGAGGAGTTTGAACCTGTGGAAATTATAAAGTGCAAAATGATGGTGATGGATGACTTATGTTGACATCAATAGACAGCCTGGTGGAAATGCCTGTTTTGGAGATAAGATTGATCCTGATTTTGTGGGAAGGAGAAATGATAAGGAGAGGAAGAAACTATGATGGTTTGGTACATTTATGTTTATCTTATTACTATAATTGCTTTTTGTATTTGTCTGTGGTAAACTTGCCCCCAAAACGTGTCATGTCAGATGTTTTCTGTTGATTCGTTTTTTGAGAATAATTTGTCAGAGCTGGAGACAATGAAACAAGAAAGGCCTTAGGATAGAACAAGCAACAGGAGAGAATCTGGAGATGCTGTGGCTCACTTGGAAGTCAGAGCAAAGGGGCCTTGTAGACAGGTTCAAGGAGTAAGCCCAAACGAGCTGTGTCTGCCCATTGCTCCTCTGGTTGCAAATCTTTCAGGGACTCTTAGAGTTTAGGGAATGCATGCCTGAGAGGGAAGAAAGTCAGAAAGATGTGGCCGGAACCAGTTTGGCTCAGTGGATAGAAGGTCCCGGGTTCGATTCCGGTCAAGGGCATGTACCTTGGTTGCGGGCACATAACCTGGTGGGGGCTGTGCAGGAGGCAGCTGGTCGATGTTTCTCTCTCATCGGTGTTTCTAACTATCCCTCTTCCGTCCTCTCTATAAAAAAATGAATAAAATATATTAAAAAAAAAAGAAAGAAAGATGTGGCCATGTTCCTAAGAGCTCCCACCAGCTTTCGTTAATTTTGAATGACCGTAAAGGGTTCTCTTTATGCATGTGATGTAATTTTTATATTACAAATCACTTATATTTTATTTGAATATAAACAATTTTAAGATTCTGTGCATTGCTATAGTTAGTGGTCAGGTAAGCACTACTGTGTGTGTTTTTGTATATATAATAGAGGCTATTTCCAGTTTAACAACAGAGTGTTTCAGAAAGTGTTTGAGTGGATTTTTAAAATATGAACTATATTTTCCCATGGTTTAGAAACTTGAAAGTGTGTTTTTTTATATAACTTGCTTTCCAGTTTTAGTTTATGAAGGCTAGGAGAAAAATCATGAGAAGTAAACATTTTAAAACAGGCAAGTTGACCCTTAGAGAAAATTTTGTTTTTTTACTCAACAGACTTTGCACATTGTATGTACGTGATAATATGGAACTAACATTAAATCAATAGTCCTGTCCTGGCTGGGTAGCTCAGTTAGTTAGAGCATCATCCCAATTAGGCCAAGGTTGTGGGTTCAATCCCCCATCAGAGCACAGACAAGAAGCAACAAATGGAGCTTACTGATGATAAAGGCTATTTCCATGCTACCTAATAGGTAAAGTAGCTGTGGGAGAACTGGAAAAGGATGCTCAGCCTAACCTGGGTCCCAGAGGAGAACCCTCACACCTGGGAGGCAAAAAGCAAGGATTGCATGGACCAGAGGATACATACTTCCCACAGCTCCTGTTCTAAATATTTAAGGGAACTCAAATCTGGACTTTTTATAATTAATTGGGAAGAAGGATTGCCAGTAATTTTGATTAGCATAGAATGCAACACTGTGAATAAATCTTTTGAGTTTCTTCTTACCGGTGGTTTAAATCATCTTAACTCAATTCAGATGAGACATAAGAACTATGACGACCGGAATGGAAGGTTGCCCAGTTATGTTCCCATAGCATGTAAAATACTGACAGCCATTTGATTTGTAACATATCTCTTGTCAGAGAGACTTAAATTCTGATAATTTTTTTTAATCTAAGAAAGAATTTTCCTTTTGATCTTAATAGTTGGACTAGATTAAAGGTCTCTTCAGGTTAAAATATTTTCGTTCTTTCTGATAAGTAAAATGAGTGCTTATTAGTGGTAGTTCAGATTATCCGAGAGTCTGAGCTAAGATCCTCATAAGTAATTTGGGGTCCCTGGCATGTGGCAGCTAGTCTGGAATGATGGCTAAGAGTACCAGTGGATCAGTGCTGAGGTAAAGAGTTTTGGAAGACAAATCCAGGATTTCCTTTGCTAACTGAATTAAACCAGGTTTAGGAAGTTGGAATGGCAAAGCCTTTGTGTTTTCAGAAGGAAGAAAAGGATAGAAACTGGAATGGGAAATGCTTCCCTGTGTCTTTGGCATTTTAATTTTTAATTTATTTATTGATTTTATTGATTTTTTTACAGAGAGGAAGGGAGAGAGAGAGTTAGAAACATCGATGAGAGTCATCTATCAGCTGTCTCTTGCACGCCCCCCACTGTGGATGTGCCCGCAACCAAGGTACATGCCCTTGACCGGAATCGAACCCGGGACCATTCAGTCCGCAGGCTGACGCTCTATCCACTGAGCCAAACCAGTTTCGGCAGCATTTTAATTTTATTAGGAATTTTAACATATATAGGCCTACTCTATACCAAAGCCCAATACTAGATTCAAGGCATATAATGGAAATAAACCATGATTCTAGTCTTTGAACAAATTAAAATATAATACCATGGGAGCTTAAAAGCAACTATGATCAACTAAGGGGTTAGGGAAGACTTCAAAGAGGATGTGCTTTTTCAAACTGATTTTTTTTTTTTTAATATATTTTTTACTGAGCTGGGAGAGGAAGAGAGACAGACATTGATGTGAGAGAGAAACATCAATCTGTTAACTTCGTAAGCGTCCTGACCAGGAATCAAATCTGTAACCCTTCGGAGTGTGGGCCAATGCTCTAACAACAGCAACACCAGCCTGAGTCCTGCTATCTCTTTATTTTTTTAAAATATATTTTATTAATTTTTTACAGAGAGGAAGGGAGAAGCATAGAGAGTTAGAAACATCAATGAGAGAGAAACATACTGGGGATGTGCCTGCAACCAAGATACATGCCCTTGACTGGAATCGAACCTGAGACCCTTCAGTCCAAAGGCCGAGACTCTATCCCCTGAGCCAAACCGGTTAGGGCCTGCTATCTCTTTTTAGATGTACTGTTGATAGTAAGCAATTTGCCCCTTAGTAAGTAATAAGGCCTTTGATGTTTTAAATCAAGCTCCTAATCACCATGATATTCTGATGACTATGAACTAGTAATTTACATTAAAAAGATACAAGCTTTGTCAAATCATGAAGATTGCTTTTGGGAAATAGTGTAGCAAGTATGTACCAAGGGCCATGAAAATGTTCCTGTTCTTTAATCTGGGAAGCAAGGCTTTACAAAAAATCCAGCATAGGGAAAATATGGTCAAAAGAATTTATGATGTGGATGATTAAATAGGGAAAAAGAAAACTTAAATATCAGGTAAAACAGGGGTGCTTCATTGCAGCAGGCTCGTAGAATGAAATGTTATCCTGTCCTGGAAAAGACCAGTGATGTGGGGAAAACACCTGTAGTGTGATATTAGGCAGAAAAACTGCCACAGACATTCACAGTACTTTTTTTTTTTTTTTTTTTTTCTTTTTCTTTTTAAGAAAGCCATGTAGTGGGAGGGGAGAAGAAGGGAAGGAGAACTATAGCTACATTTGAGCAGGAACTATGAGATTTTTGTTTTTCTATTTTTGATGATTTTGTAATATGGTGACATTTTTGTAAATCAAATTAAAAGAATGTTTTGACATAGACCATGTTGTTATGAAATAACTTCTTAGATCACTAATGGGGGGAATGAAGAAAGAGAATGGCTATGGGCTAATGGGAAACCTTAGTGGAAGCATCCTAGCATTCTCCCTCAGGGCTATTATAGAACATGGCCCTGGTGAATGGTTCTGCAAGCAAAGACATCTCCTAAAGACGGGCAGACTCTTTGTATGAAGTCCAGGATTTGTTACTCTGGTGTAGATTCTATGCTTCAAAAAGTTATGGGGGCCCTGACTGGTTTGGCTCAGTGGATAGAGCATCGGTCTTCGGACTCAGGGGTCCCGGGTTCATTTCCCATCAAGGGCATGTACCTTGGTTGCAGGCCCTTACCCAGTGGGGAGTATGCTGGAGGCATCTGGTGGATGTTTTTCTCTCATTCATGTTTCTGACTCTATTCCTCTCTGTAAAAAAATCAATAAAAATATATTTTAAAAAAGTTATGGGGGCAGGGTAATGGTAAAAGTTTCTTCTAAAACTTGGTGTGTTCACAACTTTTCAGAACACTTAAGTTCTTGAACCTAAGAGGGAGACCTCTGTCTTCTGTCACTTAAGGAGTATTACAAATGGGATGTTGGATAGCAGGAGACTGTGCGTGTGTTATTGTCTCTGGGAGTACATTAAGCAATGTACTAGGCTAATACACATTGAATCTGTGAGCACAACAAAGGAAGTGGTGTCTGTGGACTGACTAATGCTTAGCTGATAGCTAGCTCTTGCCTGTGAGTTATATGTTTGTTTTTTAAAAACTATTTTTATTGATTTCAGAGAGGAAGGGAGAGGGAGAGAGAGAAACATCAGTGATGAGAATCATTAACTGCCTCCTGCACGCTCCCTACTGGGGATCAAACCCGCAACCCAGGCATGTGCCCTTGATTGGAATTGAACCTGGGATCCTTCAATCCGCAGGCCGATGCTCTGTCCACTGAGCCAAACCAGCTGAGGCTTGCCTGTGAGCTTTGCAGTGAAAACTTTAACATGCTTTCATTTGGATGTTCAGGTGATGATTCATATACAAGATGTACTGTGAGGGCTTTGTAAGTTTGGAATATAGTGCATTTTATACTGTGAGGGACACAGAGACAGAGGTCTGTGTCATCTTCTCTGTGGGTATCCAGGGAAGTGTGCAGGATGCATGCCATAGATTAGGACCACAAGGGAGAGTATGTGGTGGTTGTGACAAGGTCCTGAGGAAGATAGCTACTGAACTTACTCTAGGTTTTTAATAAATTCAGGCCAGGTACTACGTGTAAACAAAAGATTCCTATAAAACGGAAGTATGGGGTGTGTATGTGTGTGTATGCATTTGGAATGTAATTTAAAAATGCATATTTAGGATATTGACATGTTGCAATACAAATGATAGTAAATCAGTGCAACAGAATCTTAACTACAGAGATGGAGTTATAATTTAAAGAGAGAGATAATTTATTATAGAGAATGGCTTATTTAGAAGTTTGGCAAACACTGGTATAGAGTAAGATTTTTCTCTTATTAAAGTAATTTTCTTTCTCAAGGTATCCAAGCCCACCCATGGGATCTGTATCAGCACCTAACCTGCCTACAGCAGAAGAAAATGTGGAATATGTACGGACTCTCTATGATTTTCCTGGGAATGATGCTGAAGACCTGCCCTTTAAAAAAGGTGAGATCCTGGTGATAATAGAGAAGCCTGAAGAACAGTGGTGGAGTGCCCGGAACAAGGATGGCCGGATCGGGATGATTCCCGTCCCTTATGTTGAAAAGCTCGTGAGATCCTCACCACATGGAAAGCATGGAAATAGAAATTCCAACAGTTATGGGATCCCAGAACCTGCTCATGCATATGCTCAACCTCAGACCACAACTCCTCTACCTGCAGTTTCCAGTACTCCTGGGGCAGCAATCAACCCATTGCCATCCACACAGAATGGACCTGTCTTTGCAAAAGCAATCCAGAAAAGAGTTCCCTGTGCTTATGACAAGACTGCCTTGGCATTAGAGGTAAAATCTACTAAGGTTGTTTTTGGAGTTCTTTGACATTTGTATTTATCTTTCATTTTAATTTTGTTTCTGCAAAGTAATATTCATGAGAATAAGAGAACTGGGTGATCTTAGAAGACCCGCTGTGAGTAGTCCACATGATTCTTTTGTCATTTTCTATTCGTTTCTTCCAAGTTCTCAACCTGTTTGCTCTATTTTCTGCTCCCAAGGACTCATAGATTTCATTTCACAGTAGTCAATTTTCTTTCCAATAAGGAAAGATGATAGCTAAGGAAGACCCATGACCTAGAGATGACATCAGTAGACAGGTAGGCACATAGCCTCTTACACATTTTCCTGTTTCTGATGTGGTTAGTTGAGTTGAAGAGAAATATGAATAAATGTCTTAGAATTTCTCTTTGGTCAGGCAGAGGAATAATTTTTTTTAATGTTTTCATTTAGTTAATGATTTTAGAGAAAGAAGGGAAGGAGGGAGTGGGGACAGAGACAGACAGACATTGAGATTTGTTGTTCTATATATTTATGCATTCATTGGTTGATTCTTATATGTGCCTTGGCCGGGGATTGAACTTGCAACCTTGGCATAGCAGGATGGTGCTCTAACCCAGCAGTCGCCAACTGGTGGTCCGCAGACCACTGGTGGTGTGTGAGGTCCAAAAGGTTGGCAACTACTGGTTCAAGGAAACCTTTGGAGCAGCGGATGCCAACTGGTGTTCCGTGGACTAATGGTGATCTGTGAGGTCCAAAAGGTTGGTGACCACTGTTTTAACCAACTGAGCTATCCAGTCAGGGCCCAGAGTGATAATTTTTAAATGTCTCATATCTTACTTATGAGATATTTTGTAAATTATAATAGCATGAAATAGAACTTAAATATTTTAAAAAATATTTTTATTGATTTCAGAGAGGAAGAAGAGGGAGAGAGAAACAGAAACATCAGTAATGAGAGATTGGCTGCCTCCTGCATGCCCCACACTGGGGACCGAGCCTGCAACCTGGGCATGCGCCCTGACCAGGAATCAAACCATAACCTCCTGGTTCATAGGTCAATGGTCAACCACTGAGCCATACCAGCGGGGCTGAATATTCTTTCTTAATACCAAATTGCATATGTGTTAAGAGAAACAGATTAAGTTAGTGATTGTTCTCTGTGTATTTACCTCAGGTTCAAAGCAGGGAGATAGCCTAGGTGCATGGCAGAAGGATGAAGTAATGGAGCCTGTTGCTTCAAAAAAAAAGCAAAACTTAACCCATAAAACATTCTACCCACAGATAAAGGTTAGCTATAATTTGTTTTGTATTTATTTGGTCCTCGGTATTTTATAGACCAGGAGTCATATCTCAGTTAACTGCACCTGAAGGTTTGTTTCAAAGTCCATGGTTACTTTTCCTTCTCTTCTTGGCTGTGAGGAAGAAGTGAGGCTGTGGCAGAAGAAGCCCCCTCCGCAGAGAAGAGTCCTCTCTGAGTAGGCCTTCTGGTCTTCTCATCTCACACAGATCTTCCCTTGCACAGGCACACATGCCTGGCCTAGTCTACTCCTCAGCACCCTAAAATAGCTTGTGTACTGGGCTCTTAATACCTCCTAGTTTGCGCCCGGCATGGCTCAGTGGTTGAGTGTCGACCTGTAAAATAGGTGGTCACGGTTCCTGGTCAGGGCACATGCCTGAGTTGTGGGCTTGGTCCCCAATATGGGGCACATAGGAGGCAGCCAGTCAATGATTCTCATTACTATGTCGTGTGTCCGTCCCCCCCCCCCCCTCTTTCTCTCCTTCCCTCCCTCCCTCCCTGAAATAAATAAAAATATATATTTTTAAAATACCTTCCATTTTGCATGGTGGTTTCTGCCTTCTGAGGCATTTTCACATCTGTCATTTCATCCTAGGAGTAGTAGGGAGCTAGGATTCAGAGAGTTGGTGTAACTTGGCACATTGCGGGTAAGACTGCAATCAGAATTCTAAGAACCATAAAGGAAGTCGGGAATTGGGTTCTTACCTGAGCTAGTGTTTTAAAGTCTTACTCCATTTAGGACACCTGCCTGTTGGCCTCTGGCTCTAAGGTACATGTTTTAGAAACCCATATTCGGTGCGTTCTTTGGAGTGTGCACAGGAGGATTGTAAAGAGGAAGAGCAGGTACTATGGGGGGGGGGGTCACTTAGACTTGGTGAGTAGATACATAGGTAAGGGCCTTAAAAAGATCAAGAGGAGGAGGTAATGTATATTTTACTCAGCCATTACTCAGCCATTACTTATCTCTCTCAGACCCAAGGAGAACTCTCCATAACAGCCTCCTCATGACACTAACCTAGCCATGTAAACCTTATCAAAGTCTCATTTTTATTCTTTATGGAGACTGTAAGTGGAACTCAAGAAATACACCTTTGCTGAAGCCAGTTTGGCTCAGTGGTAGAGTGTCAGTCTGCAGACTGAAAGGTCCCAGGTTCGATTCCGGCATGTACCTTGGTTGCGGGCACATCCCCAGTAGGGGTGTGCAAGAGGCAGCTGGTCGATGTTTCTCTCTCATCGAAGTTTCTAGCTCTATCTCTCTCCCTTCCTCTCTGTAAAAAATCAATAAAATATATTTAAAGAAAAGAAAAGAAATACATATTTGCCAAATTCTGTTTAACAGTATTTCTCATTCTTTATATTTAAATTAGACTTTCAATAGCATAAGATAATTTTTTGAATATTTCTATGAATTATGTTATCTTATAAAACTTAGTGGTGCCTATCTGGTCTTGTTAAAAACAACTCTCTTGGGACTATTGCAATTAGGTTACCAGAAAAAAGTATTAAAATTCAAATGAGAAAAGTGACAAATAGGACAAAATGTACCAGTAATTGAAGCTTCCTCTTCCCCTTGATAATATTACAGAGAACAATGATGGCTTAGGTGAACTTTATTTCTTGAATTATTTCACAAGTATTTTTCATAAACTCGATTTTCAAAAGAACATTTCCTGGGAGTAAGATTTTTTTAAAGATCTGTGTTTAGCCATTTTCCTCTCATGTTCACTTTTTTATTTTTATTTTTATTGATTTCAGAGAGGAAGGGAGAGATAGAAACATCAATGATGAGAGAGAATCATTGATCAGCTGCCTCCTGCACACCCCCTACAACCCTTCAGTTTCAGGCTGATGCTCTATCCACTGAGCAAAACCAGCTAAGGCATGTTCACCTCTTTTATATACACACACACACACACACTTTATTAATTTTTTACAGAGAGGAAGGGAGAGTGATAGAGAGTAAGAAACATCGATGTCAGAGAAACATCGATCAGCTGCATCCTGCACACCCCCTATTGGGGATGTGCCTGCAACCAAGGTACTACATGCCCTTGACCGGAATTGAACCTGGGACCCTTCAGTCCACAGGCAGACACTCTATCCACTGAGCCAAAACAGTTAGGTCAATGTTCACATCTTTTTAAGAAGCATGTTGATTCTTGGGATTTGATTTAAAAGGGAACAGTTAGTTGATACCTTTGTTAGGTGGATTGTGGTGGGTATCCCTACTCCTTGAAAACGGCTCTCCCATGCCCTTGATATAATAGGGCTGGAAAGGCTCCTGGGAAACAAATTACACCCTATAAGAGCATTCTCAGATTGAGGGAAGCAGAGTAGTCTTTTCCAAGAGTAAATCATTGGCTAGAAGATAATATTTGGAGGAAGGGTGCTATTGTCATAAAATATCTATAGTCAAAATTATATTCTATGACACAGTAGAGAAGCAAGATGGTTAGGAAAGATCATGGCCCCTCATTCAAGTCCTGGTTTTCCCTGGTGTGATCTTGGACAGGTTACTTAAATTCTTTGAGCCTAAAAGGCACCTGGACTCGAGAGTTGATGTTAGTTTGTTCATTAATCATCCATTCATGCAGACGACCTGGGAGGGGTATCTTGTAGGGTCCTGCTACCAAGGATCTTAGCCTCTCCCCCTCTCTCCCTCTTCCTCTCCCTCTTCCCCTTTCACTCTCTAAGCATGTCCTCGGGTGAGGATTAAAAAAAAAAAAAAAGCAACCCAGATGGTGCAGCTCAGCACTGGTTCGATTCCAAGTGAGGGCACGTGCCTGGGTTGCGGGCTAGAACCCTAGTGGGGGTGCATGCAGCAGGCAGGATATCAGTGATATTTTTCTGTCATTCATATTTCTCTCTCTCCCTCTCTCTAAAAATCACTAAAACCATATTTTAAAATTAATTAAAAGAAGGCAATTTGTAATAATTTTTTTTCTTATTAAAGTTGTACTAATATTTAGTCTAATGATCTAGTGATTTTTTAGCTTTCTACTGCGATGAGGTCCATTGGCCCTCCTATCTCAACTTGGAAATATTCTAAACATTCGCTCCTTCAGCAAAGGTTTGAATCTTTGAGATTTGAACCTAGCCCTGCCATGTAAGCCAGCTAGGGCATATTGTGTGGCAGGCATTGTTACAGGAGTTTGAGTACAGCAGTGAACAAAGCAAAGGTCTCTGTTCTTGTGGAACTTCTGGGACAGTCTCATGATGTGTTTCCTCCCGTAATGGGTGACTCAGGTAGTTAAGAAATTCCTCACGTTCTTTCTCTCCCATCAGAGAGAAACAAACCACTACAATTCCTCTTAACTGTATTTGCCTAACTCATTTGGACTTAAATGTGTTGCCCTACGCTGTCCCTCCAGGGTGTTTTGTTGTGTTTTATTTTGTTTTGTTTTGGTCTTACACCATCTGTACACTTCTGAATCTTTTAAAATATGTTTTTCTAGCATATTGACCCCCTGGACACACCCTGGAACCTCCCCCCAGGTTCATATTAACTGCAGAGTTCATAAAATCACAATCCAGATAATTGTACTAAATTCTCCTCTGCAGCCTCTCCTAATCTATGTCTCATCTAAAAAAAGACAATGAGGTTATGGTCTGGCGAGACTTATTCTTGGTTGAGCCCAGGCAGCCTTCTAAATATCCCATTTCAAAAAAATAATAAATAAATAAATAAATAAATAAATAAATGCCCCATTTCCCATTCTGATCCTTGTAAACTATATTTTGCTAATTGTATCCAGAATTTTGTCCAGGTTTTATTTCAAGCTCACCTTTTACACATTGTAGAATTTGCCATCATCCCTCTTTTAACAAAAACCAAGAGACTTGACTCTTCATAGCTCTGCCAATGTCCTATAAAAAATTCTACTAGTGCCCTGGTGCATAGATTTGTGCACATTGAAAGGAAATTAATTAGAAGGTAGTCAGTGGGACGGGACTGGGTGAGATGGACTGGACACACCCTGGAGCCAACCTCCCAGGTCCTTTTCTGGTGGCGCAATGGAGTGAGGAGGGTCCCTCCAGAAGGTGGGGTCCCTCGGCCTGGCCTGTGGGGATCAGGCCGAAACTATCTCTCTGATAATAGGGGTCCTGGATTGCGAGAGGAGAGGGAGGTTCTTGGGTGACACATCCCAAGATCAGGCTCCCTCCTCTGAATCACCACTGCCAAGTCACCACAGCTTGGTAGTTTCTGCATTGAGCATCTGTCCCTTGGTGGTCAGTGTGCATCATACTACCAGTCAGATGGTTGCTTGGCCTTTTTTCTTTCTTAATTTATATATTTTATTGATTTCAGAGAGGAGGGAGGGGAAAAGACAGAGGAACGTCAATGATGAGAGAGAATCATTGATTGGCTGCCTTCTGCACACCCCCATTGAGCTCAGAGCCCAGCATGTGCCCTTGACTGGAATCAAACCTACAACTCTTCAGCCTGCAAGCCAACGCTCCATCCACTGAGCTAAACTGGCTAGGGTGCTTAGCCTTTTATATATATAGATGTCAAGACACCACTCTTGGACCTTTTTTTTTTTATTATTTTTTTTTAATTTTTTTTTTATTGATTTTTGTACAGAGAGGAAGGGAGAGAGCTAGAGAGGTAGAAACATCAATGAGAGAGTCATCGATCAGCTGCCTCTTGCACACCCCCTACTGGAGATATGCCCGCAACCAAGGTACATGCCCTTGACCAGAATCGAACTCGGGACCCTTCAGTCCCCAAGCCGATGCTCTATCCATTGAGCCAAACCGGTCTCGGCCACTCTTGGACTCTTATTCCTGCTTGCCAGTGTGTCTGGTCAATACTTATTGTAGATATATGCTCTTATTAGTATAAGGACATCCTTTCATCTTTGGTGAATATTCTTTTTATGACTCTCGAGTTCTTTGTGTGGCCTCACCAACATTCTCAAAATATTTACTGATCATCAGTAGATGAATAGATTTTAAAAACTGGTATGTTTACACAGTGGAATACTATGCAACTGTAAAAAAGAAGCATCTAGAAGCATCTCTTACCCTTGAGATGGCATGGAGAGACCTGGAGAGTATTATGATGAGTGAAATAAGCCATACAGTAAAAAACCTGTATCACATGATCTCACTTATATGTGGAATCTAATGAACAAAATAAAATGTCAAAATAGATCCAGAGACATGGAAACATGCAACATACTAAGGATCCTCAGAGGAATGGGGGCAGGAGGGAAGAAATCAATCAAAGAACTTATATGCATAGCCAAAACCAGTTTGGCTCAGTGGTAGAGTGTCGGTCTACGGACTGAAAGGTCCCAGGTTCGATTCTGGTCAAAGGCATGTACATTGGTTGCGGGCACATCCCCGGTAGTGGGTGTGCAAGAGGCAGCTGGTCGATGTTTCTCTCTCATTGATGTTTCTAGCTCTCTATCTCTCTCCCTTCCTCTCTAAAAAATCAATAAAATATATATTTAAAAAAAAAGAACTTATATCCATATATCATAACCCATGGACACAGACAGTAGTGGGATAAAGGCCTGCGAAGGGGATGGGAGCAGGGAGAGGGAGAGACCATCTATAATACTTTAAACAATAAAGGTAATTTTCTTAAAAGACAAAGTATTTTTTGAGGGACATCAAATTAATGAGGCAAAAATTTCAGTCACAGGGAGAAGCCATTGATTCTGTTATCTGCTGTCAAACCTACCAGCACCGGCTGTAGCTTTGTTTCTTTTTAGTCTCAGCTCATTCTTGCTATATAGCCTTTTGTTTTTAATATCTTGTCAGAGTCAGATTTGGGGTCTGGCTCTGAGTGCCTGTCTGCTCAGGTACCCTCCTGCCATAGTCCCCCAGTATAGCAGAGTTCACCTGGGTGTTTGCCTGATTCCTTTCCCCTCTCCTCACTGAATCCTCTCTACAGGTACATACGCACCACACCCACCTACTTGTCCTTGCTTTTTTGTAAGTTTATTTTAATACATTAATTATATTGTGTTTTCTGGAAGTATAATCATTAATAATAAATATAAATTAATTAGTAATGATGTCAATAGCTTTCTATCCATGAGTTTTAATTTCTATTTCATTATTATTTTTAAATATATTTTTATTGATTTCAGAGAGGGTGGGAGAGATAGAAACATCCATGATCACTGAAACCGGTTTGGCTCAGTGGATAGAGCATCGATCTGCAGACTGAAAGGTCCCAGGTTTGAAGGTAGAAATGATTCCAGTCAAGGACATGTACGTTGGTTGCGGGCACATCCCCAGTAGGGGATGTGCAGGAGGCAGCTGGTCAATGTTTCTCTCTCATTGATGTTTCTAGCTCTCTGTCCCTCTTCCTTCCTCTCTGTAAAAAAATCAATAAAATATATATATTTTTTTTTAAAGAAAAGAAACATCCATGATGAGAGAGAATCATTGATCAGCTGCCTCCTGCACTCTCCGTACTGGAGATCGAGCCCTTGACTGAAATCAAACCTGAGACCATTCGGTCCGTAGTCCAACACTCTTAGCCACTGAGCCAAACCAGCTAGTGCTATTTCATTATTTTTATTTTATATATATATATTTTTTTTAATTGATTTTTTTACAGAGAGGAAGGGAGAGAGCCAGAAATGTTGATGAGAGAAAAACATCGAGCAACTGCCTCATGCACACACACACACACACACACACACACACACACCACTGGGGATGTGCCTGCAATAAATGTACATGTCCCTGACCGGAATCGAACCCGGGACTTTTCAGTCCGCAGACCGACGCTCTACCACTGAGCCAAACCGGTTTCGGCTATTTCATTATTTTTAAAATATCGTTTTGGCTCAGTGGATAGAATCACCACCTGCTGACTGAAGAGTCCTGGGTTCGATTCCTAGTCATGAGCATGTCTCTCACTTGCAGGCTCAATACCTGGGCCTCATTGTGGCATGTGAGAGTGGCAAGCAGTTGATGTGTTTCACATCAGTGTTTCTCTGTCTATCCCCCTCCCTTCAACCCTCTAAAAATCAATGGAAAAATATCCTTGGGTGGGGATTAACTAAAATAAAAAGGCAACCTTTTTTCTTGGGTGAAAAGGAAATGAGGAAAAAATATGATCATGTGTTACAGAGTAAAGCAAGACAGTGAAGCTCCTCATTTCGATGGCCTTGTTGTATTCCAAACAACAATGGAGCAGGTTCCTGCACTGAAAGGCTTAAGGAGGCCAAGGTTCTGGGGAGATGTAATGCAGAGATCAAGGAAATCAGAATGTGGTCCAGCAATAGAGACCTATGATTTGTGGCATTGCATTAGCTCCTGCCTACAGGATTCTCTCTGCTCACCCAGGGTTGACTTTAATTTGTGTGTTATTAAATAAGCATTATTTTTGTCTTACGTTGGTGCTTAAATATTCCTTTTTTTTTTTCTTTTCTTTTTTTATGGAGTAAGATTATTAGATTGGACAGAAGTCATGATTTCAGATTTTCATCAACTTTAGCTTCCAGCTATGTTATTTCTGTACTCTAACTCAGGATTCTCATTCACAAGGGAGTTTTCCTTATATGCAGATCTGAAATCTATCTTTTCTAGAAATGAAAATATAATCATGAAGTTTTTCTGTTTCATGGCTTCTGTACGATAGGGAAAGGAAATACAAGTTATAAAACTAAGTTCTTGGTTCACTTTAAAGAATAGAAATTTTTTCATAATTAACAAAAACATTTGTGTGATCATCTTAGTTTTGGGTAAGAAAGACATTTCTCTTTCTATTATCTATAAATAAAAAATTGTGACTTGGAGAGGGTGAGCAATATGTGGATTCCAAACATTAATCTTAAAATAATCTGTATTTTAGAAGTCTTTAGCATGTCCCACTTAATTCTTATATTAATTTACTCTCACCTCCAAATTTTTATTTTATTTTAAGGCAAAGCCAGTGAAAACATGTCTTTTCAGTTGTAATATTCTCCACTAAAATATTTTACAATTTAGTTTTTAGTGGATCTCTGAAAAATAGAACTCTCAGTTGCTAATTGCCAAATTTTAATTATTCAGCCAGTTTAAGGTGTTAAATTGAGCCTGTGACATTGACTGTAATAATTTATATACATGCAGTTAGTTGGCTTTTACATCTTGTTTTTCTCACATACTTATCTAGTACTTGACTACAAAAATCTGAATACTAAAGTACATTTTGTTTTTGTCTTAGGTCCTAGGTGCTGGTGTGTCCTATTGCCTTAGAGCTTTTCTAAAATGTTAAAATCTAATTATCAGAATAACTTTTTACAAGCCATCCTGCAAGAGTTGAATTGGTTGTTCTCTAATTAAAGGAGTTTGAGTCAGAATTCAGACAGAAGACTTTTTTTAAAAATTGAATTTATAGTGTTCTAACCAGGGAGCCTCAGGGGATACAGTTCTTTTTTCCGTTGTCATTTTGGTGGGTACTGAGAATAAGCCAGTTTCCATAAGATGAGAAGTTCCATTTGGTAATAGTGTTTTTTTCCATGGAAATGTAGTGACTTCAGTCTTATTTCTCAGAAGGTTTGGGGAATTACGAGTCGTTCTATATGGCTGGGCCCATAATCCCAGTGAACAAGTAGAATGATAAAACCGAACAATGAAGGATGGGAAGGTAGAAAACACATGGCAGCCAGTCTGCATTCCTAGGGGAAAGTTACGGTAAGACATTAAGAGCAGAGGGTGTCTTGGTGATAAAAGCCCTGGAGGAGGGGAAGCAGAGTGGTCCTAGGTGCTGGTGTGTCCTACTGCCTTTGCACTGTGCAAAGTGACAAGGACATAAGTGGCCAGCACTGAGTACTGCCTGCCTTTGTACCCCTGCTTCATGGTAGACCAGCCTGTGACCTTGAGAAGGGTTCCAGTCTCTGGATCTTTTATCCAGGCCTACCTTACAGGAGGTGTATGTTGGGGGTCAAGGGATGTGTCTAAAGGAGCCCTGCAGGTAGAAATCCCCTGAAAATGGAGCCACACACCTGACATATAGTGTCCATTGAATTAGAATTAGTATGCAGGCCTATGCTGCATACTCTGGCTCATCCTGTTTGGGCCTTTCCCTCAGCTTTTTGCAGCATGATCCCTTTTTATGTTGATACTAGAGGCCCTGTGCACAAATTCGAGCATGGGTGGAGTCCAGCCAGCCCATCCCAATTGGGACTCGGTAGAAGGGCCCGCGGGCGTTTGGCTGGCCAACCCTGTCCTGTGGTCGAACTCCTAGTCAAGGGCGTAATTTGCATATTTGCCTTTTATTATATAGGATGTAGTCACATGAGGGCAAAAGTACCAAGTTTCCAAACTTGGTAGACATTGACAAAATGTTAAATTGTCTGCTTCTCAATGGCTTGTGTGGAGATACTCAGTCTCCTATGCAACTGGTGTTTCTAACCCTCCTATCTCCACCTCCATGAAGGGAGTTATTTATTTATTTATTTTTAATAAGTTTTATTGATTTTTTTACAGAGAGGAAGGGGGAGGGATAGAGTTAGAAATATCGATGGGAGAGAAACATCAATCAGCTGCCTTCTGCACACCTCCCACTGGGGATGTGCCCGCAACCAAGGTACATGCCCTTGACGGGAATCGAACCTGGGACCTTTCAGTCCACAGGCAGATGCTCTATCCACTGAGCCAAACCAGTTAATGCTTTCTTAAAATGGCTGATCATGTAAGTTGAGTCCTAAAAAAAATGTATAATTTCTTTTGGATAGGACAATGTGTGTGATTTAATGTTAACTTTCTCTTTTCTTTGTTTGCAGAGAACATGCTGACTTTGTCTTCTTTCTCTATTCTTACAGGTTGGTGATATTGTGAAAGTCACAAGGATGAACATAAATGGCCAGTGGGAAGGTGAAGTGAATGGGCGCAAAGGGCTTTTTCCTTTTACACACGTCAAAATCTTTGACCCTCAAAACCCAGATGAAAATGAGTGATTGCCATTGGCCCTGTTTTCTACTGCTTCATTATTCTGTCATAGTCTCCTTTGAGAGAGATCATTCTATTTCATTGGCATTGCCGAAGTCCAGCTTTCTGTAGACTGGTGGTCTCATACATGTTTGGAATGCACACAGTGGCTGCCTCGGCATTTGTATCATAGTTGTATTGTCAAAGAGTAGCCGATTTTAGAGTTTTTTGGATCATAAACTGGAAATACTGGTAGAAGCACACAAGTGGAGAGAAGTTGACGAGGGAAGGGTCCTTCTCATCACTGCCCTGTTGTACTTGTGACTGGTTCTATCATGTTCATCAGAGAAAGCTTGAGGCCATGGCAAGACATTGCCCATCACTGTTCTACAAAGCAGCGGCTCAGTTGCTAACTTGTTTTTTCTTTAAAGAGCAGAGCAAGTGAACCTTAAAGAAGAGGAAATTCTGTCCTAAACTCCCCAGATCTGGCTCTTCTCTTTTTTTCTTGTGGTTTGATTTTGGAAGACTTAATTAATTAGACTTGTGTGTTCTGAACAGGTTTTTAATAGCACGTTGGATTTTTGTGATATCACAAGGAATGAGCTTCTAAACTGAAGCTACTGTAACTAAGGAAATGGAAATAACAAACCTGAAATGGAGGCCTGTATTGTCTTGGTTGGCAGTAGTTATCCTTTAGCCATATAGCAAACAACACCAAAAATATCAGCAGTTGTGGTGTGCCAAGCCGTGTGGGCAACTTCTTGGATTATATTGTCCCCAGCAGCAACAATATGGAGGGTGGTTTGGGGAAACTTTTGCCCACCTTGTTTGCCAATGACAGAAGCATATGTGGAGGGGGGCTCTTGGCCAGTTTTCTGTCCTGTGGTTCAGTGAATAAATCCTTAAGGTATAGGATTTAAGTTTCATTAAAAAGTGGGGTTGTTCATAGAATCATCTAATTCATTAGTGAATCTTTAAATTCTCTCTGAAGCCTAGTCCTCCCTGCCACAGCCTGGACTCACCAGGCTGCAAGAGAAAGATAGTGCTGCTCATACTGGTTCCACTGTCTGTGTGCCCGTGATGCTCTCAAGCAAAGAAAATGCAGTCTGGAAATTGCTTAATACATTTGGTGTCTAATGTTTTATTGACTAGGGAGAACCATTAACTAATTTTACCATTAATCATTTACCAGGTGTGGGTTTTTTTTTAATATGTTTTATTGATTTTCAGAGAGAGGACGGATGAGGGATAGAGAGATCAATGAGAGAAATATCATCGATTGGCTGCTTCCTGCACACCTCTACTGGGGATAGAGCCACAACCCGGGCATGTGCCCTGACCGAGAATGAAACCAGTGACCTCTTGCTTCATGGGTTGATGCTCAACCACTGGACAACACCAGCTGGGCCATTTACGAGTTTGGTGTTAAAGTTTCCCTGTTACCTGAAAGAGGCCTGTTCATGCAAGCCAACTGGTACAAACGGCTATAGCAAGCTAGAATGCTGGACCTTTTTTGCAGTTCAGTCTGCTCTCCCTTCTAAACACTGGTGAAGACAGGCCTCAGCTCAGAATGAACATAGCAGACGTAGAGATGTAGCAGCAACCTGATGAGCAATTCTGTATCATTTAAATTTTTCTTTAAATCAGTTTTCTATCAGACAGGTAACACCATATTATTAAAGAATGTTGATAGTGTTCCTGTGTGAAAAAAATCAATGGTCATTTGGGGGGGAAATAACACTGTGGCTGCCTGTCTATAGTTATCCTGAAAGAGACAACAATCATCTCTTCCTAACCAAGTGGAGACTGTGGCTCTGAAGGTACCCGTCATTGTAGGTGCCTCTTGACAATAGTTGGCTCAGAACACAAGAAATACTAGTCTTTTTGGAGAGCAGTTTCCTTTCAGCCATGTCTGCTGACCACATCATGTAGAGCACTTCAGAATCAGAACACTCACAACCTAGATTTCACTTCCTAGTAAGTCTCTCATCACTTCAGCCCACATACTTGTCTCCAGGACTGCGCTGGAGGTTTGGAGCCTCAAATTAGGTGAGCCTTGAGTCCTGAGCTCTCAAGATAGTGCCAAAAGTAGCATCTTTTTTACTTAGAACCTTACTAGTTTTTTAATCAGGCAGGGAAATTCTTTTTCACACTAAACATACAGAAACGGCGCCCTTGCCTTGGTTTCATGCCTGGGGCTCCCAGCAGCTTCAGAAAATGTTGTGGATCTTCCAGAGGAGCTGCCTTCCCTCCCGGGCACCCTTCCTTTTAGGATTGTTCATTATTGCTACTTGCTCTACTCTACTGCTTGTCATTTAAGAAAATACTGGGATGTTAAATTAACTCACTTGGGAAGTGAACAAGTTACGTACTAAAGGGCATTGACAGTTGGATTCAAAACGTATTTATCCTGGGAAGGAACTCCAACACAGAGTCATTCTTGTCATTTCTGCATGGTGTGGTACCATCTGACGGCCTGGTTAACGAAGAGGAGGACACTTTGGCCGCCATTTGATGATTTAAAGTTGCTCAGAGGAGACGGCTTCTCTGCTCACTGTGGGAAGCTGAAAGGAGGGAAGGACAGCTGCTTCCTCCTCGGAGTTCAAGCATCCCTGGCACTGTGCTAACTTTCTTTTACAGCTGTTTACAGACAAGGCGGGCTGGGACAGACGGCCACTGCTCTTGTAATGTTTGCTCAGAGGAAAATGAACATTTTATTTTTGAAAAGGGATGATGTGTTTTTGTGCCAGGTGTTTATAATTTAATCCTTTAATATTATGTTCATTAACTTCTTAAAATGAATGAATTCTTGTTTTAACACAGTACCTAAGACTAATGTTTTCTGTGGACACCACTGAGCTCTGCCTCAAACTCCACCCTCTGGGACCGGAGACCAATGTCCCGGTAACTGCTGACCGTGTGGACACTGAGCTGGTTGTTTATATAATGGAGGAGAAGGACAGTTCTCTGAGACAGGGTCGTTGTCTCTGCAGGAGGAACAGTGGCCTTGCTTCTAGACGGTCTTCACTGTGTGTTTTAAAACAACAAAAAACAACACAAAACCTTTGACCTGTAACTTAAAGATCGTAAATTTCAGGCAATAATATTTTCTGTGTAAGCTTTTAAAATTATTTTTGGGGATCATAGCTTGTTTTATTTTGTGCTATAAAATTAACAGTATTAAATGACTTATATTCTTAGAACACATCGAGTGTCTTTTCTTAACAGATTAGTGCCTTTTTATTTTTGTATTTCATTTTACGTTACTGGTCCCAGCATCAGAACCCTTGTTTCCATGGCCTGTTTGTACATTGTCTCAATAAAACTTGCATCAGCCGGTGGTGGCAGCAGCTTCCGTGTTTCGGTGTCTCCTCAGTGCTGCCTGGAGGTCTCGGCCCCCACCAGCCTCCTGAGCAGTTCCTGGTGAAACACCAGGTGCTTCACGGAGCAGGAGTCCTGCAACCCAGCCCTGCTACTGACCACGAAATAGAATGGTATCTTACAGCAGCCCTTCCCCACCTCGGCTCCTCCCTACAGAAGAAACGCGTTGATGCTTACTCTCGGCCTTCTGAGGATGGGGCAATAGTTGCCACACTTTTTATCACCAAGGTAGACTTGGATGTTTTCCCTACTAGGTCACCGCATCTGAAGGACTCTTAAATATTTGCTCAGCAAGAGCTAGCAAGAGTTGGATGGCTTCAAGCAGAAGTCACAGAAAATGAGGAGCCTCATCCCAGATCTCTAGAGTAGGGGTGTCGAACTCAATCAGAGAAGGGGCCAAAATCTAAAATCCAGCCTAAATCGCGGGCCGAATGGTTTACTGAACAGTCAAACTGTCATTGTGATGGAAACGCAGCGGAGTGCAGTGATGACAGCGCGGTGCGGGCCACATTGCAAGGCCTGGCGGGACGGATTTGGCCCGCGGGCCTTGTGTTTGACACATGTGCTCTAGAGCATGATATCTGGCTTTTTACAATCCTGTCCTGTCTATATATGGGACTCCTAGTGAATTCTGGGGGCCTGTCGGTGGCTACTTGAGATGCTGGCAGCTCACTGATTTCCCTGACACCCCTCAGCCAGAGCCCTGTCCCCATGCCTATTTATGTGTGTATTGAGAGGTCCACATTTTGTGGTGAACCTCCAGAAATGAGTTTCAGGAAGTGCCATATTTATATAGAACTTGGCACTTCCTAGTGATTTCAAGAATTTGAGAGAAAAGTTTGTCTTAAATGGAAATACCAAAATGGTCAAATCTTTAAAAAAAAAAAAAAAAAAAAATCCCGAGATAACCTTTAAATAATACTTTTAGTTTGAAAAGGTATTTTGGTCAGCAATCCTGGGCTGGGAACACTTGGAATCGGGTGGGGGCTGCTCTTCCCCAGAGGCAGCTGCCACAGGTCTAAGTGGCCATACACACCCCACCCTCCCCCAGGACAGGCGCGTCCCACTCTGCCATCACTAAAGTGGGAGTGGGCACCAGAGGAGGAGGGAGGTCTAGAGCAGATGGCCAGGTGGTGGGCCAGAAAGGACAGGCCACACCCACCCACCTGAAGGCCCTGGGGAAACTACTGTAAAGGCTAAGGGGTTTGGGGAAGGGGAAGCTTTCTGAGTGGGTGCCTGAGGCACCAGGAGTAGTAGATGGTCAGTAACTACATAGAGGGCAAGAAAGGGCTGGCACCAAGAGAAGGAAGGACAACCCAGGGGCCAGAGTGGCACAGTGGTTTGAGTGTCACCGTTTGATTCCCAGTCAGGGCACGTGCCAGGGTTGCCAGCTTGATCCCCAGTGTGGGGCTTGCAGGAGGCAAGTTGGTCAATGATTCTCATTGATGTTTCTATCTCCCTTCCTCTCTGAAATCAATTAAAAAATATATCTTTTTTTTTAAATGAGGAACCTGGGCAGGGCTGTGCCAGGCCAGTTACCAGAGGCCAGTACAAGCCCCAGTGTCAGCCCACCAAGGAATGGAAGTTTGCAGCCCAACTGAGCTCACCAAGACTCGAGCTTAGTCCTTGCCCCAAGTGTCTCCTGGCCTCCCTGCTCCCTCCCAGCCCAGTGCCAATCCTAGTTGCTGGTATGCTTTATTCCTAAAACGTATAATGAAAACCCCTTTACCCAGTTCCTCCCCGGCCCATGGTAACACTCCATGCCATGCCCCTGCCCAGAACCCAAAACTCAGGCCAGACAGGACTGACACATTCTGAATTCCCCAGAATTTGACTCTCTACCTCCTTGCCTTGGCCCACGTGTTCCTTCTGCTTGGACACCCTTCTCTCCTTTGATGAACTCCAACTGGTCCATCTGTCCTCACCTTCTGCCACCTCCTATAAAGCCCTCCTGGCCTTGGCATCCTTCATGAGGACTGGATTTAGGACCGGTGCTCCCAGAGCCTGAGAACAGAACTGGGAGGGCCCAGGCTGGGCTAAAGAGGTTTAGGGGGGGCTGGAGCTACCTTCGACAGAGTCACAGAGAACCCAGAGGGTGCTGGGAACATGATGGTCAGACCGTGTAAACCAAACTGAGCAGGAGAGAGAAGACTGCAGTAGCCGGGAGTCAGAGATGAGGCTGGGGGAGGGGCTTCACCCTCACTCCCCAACCTGAGGATTCCCTCAACTTCTGCTTTTATAATAAGTAAATAAGTAAATAAATCCCTAGCTCTGGGCACTACCACCCATCTTTCCCCTCGCAGCTGGCTTCAGCTCAGATGTTGGCTGTGCTGCATCAGTACCCCAACATTTCCTGTGGATCTGTCAGTCGAACCAAGGTCTCCCCCTCTGAGAATCCAGGGAAGAGACCCCCACTCTCAACCCCTTCCATCAGAACCCTAAAGTTCAGGGAGGCCCATGCAGACTCAGACTGGCCTCCAGGGGGCGCCAGTGTCAATCACAATGTTAGACATTACAGCGATCCCGTTTTCTTAACTAAAAAAGGACTCTCCTGCACACTGGGCTTGGAGACCCCAGGCTGGGCGGAGTGGGGAATAAGGAAACTGACAGGAGGGGGAAGGTGTAAGAGGGCAGAGACATGGTGGGGGTACTCCAGGGCTGCATGGTGGGGGTACTCCAGGGCTGGGGGAAGGGGGGGGGGGGGAAAGGGATCACCCACTTGCTTCTCAGACATCAGCAACCCCCTTCCTGCCTTTGGGGTGTCTGCTGACTAAGAGGATCCCAGCGCCCCCCGCAGATCACCTCACTATATCTCAACCTGGATCTTGATTTCCCTCTTTGCTGACATTAGGTATTATCAAGGCTGCTACCACTTTGTCAGAATCATCTTTGGGGCTAGACCAGGACCTCAGGCTACCCAAAGCTCAGAGGCCTACTGAGTGTCCTTGGATCCCCTTATCCAGTGGTCGGCAAACTCATTAGTCAACAGAGCCTAATATCAACAGAACAGCTGAACCGGTTTGGCTCAGTGGATAGAGCGTTGGCCTGCGAACTGAAAGGTCCCAGGTTTGGTTCTGGTCAAGAGCACATGCCCGTGTTGTGGGCTCGATCCCCAGTGGGGGACTTACAAAAGAAGCCGATGCACCATGATTCTCTCTCATCGTGGCTGTTTCTTTCCATCCCTCTTCCGTCCTCTCTGAAATCAATAAAAATGTTTTTTTTAAAAAGGGGTTGGCTTTAGCTCAGCGGTTCCTTCGAGTACAAAAAAAGATAAGGCTCTGTTTAAAAAAAAAAAGAGGGGAGGAGTTGTGCTGGCCCCCTGGGCGAGGTATGGCGTACGTAAAAGATTCCCTCGGAAGGCCGTGTTGTAATCCTTACAGGAGAGCAAGGCCAAGAAAGAGGAGAGGCAGGAAATAAACAAGGACCCAACTCACTCAAACCACCGAGTAATAGGACATCAGAGTCGGTGGGCCCTGAAATGCTTAGTGACAGATACGACATCAAACCTTTGGAAGGTGCCATTCATTCATTTTCTCACACCATCACGGAATTCTAGTTTGCTAGTGAGACAAACCACAACAGAAAGAGCTGGACAGTGGGGACAATGAAACCCTGAGGTCCAGGAGTCAGAATACCAGGTCCTGGAGTGTTGATCATGGAGGACTTCATGGAGGAAGGGACACGACACCAGGGTGCACTGGGATTTATGTGGACTCAGGTAATTAAGTTCTGGCATAATGATAGGTGGGAAAGAGAAAATGTAATAAAATATAAATTAAAAT